ACATTATTTCATATAGTATTTTAGATAAATTTATAAACAATTTTAAATATTTAAATATAAACTATGAAAGTAAATACACGTAGATTAGATCAATAAAAATGAAGATATTAGGCCTAGTAATCTTTATCTATTCATTAACACGAATAACATTTTCAATATTCTAATCAATTTTTATATAGCCGGAGTTAGTTTCGACCTAGGTAAACCTTTGCTAAAAAAGTACACTTTCTCCATCAAAAGGTTTCTTCTATGAATGGAATGACCTGTTCGAAGCACTAACTCCTGTACCGTTACGATTTTTAATCGTACGGGAAATTCACTCACGATGCGGTACCGTTACGATTTTTAATCGTACGGGAAATCCACTCACGAAATATTTTATAATTTTATTATATTACCACCTTTTTATTACATAGATCTTTTTCAAAACATAACTGCTTTTATAACATTTTATAGACCCATTAAAACACAAAAGGTGCTCTGGCTTCGGGGGCTTCGCCCCCGATCCCACCGGGGCCCTTAGGCAGGCCCCTGCACCCCACGCCCAGAGAACCCCCCCTTGAAATGACCTGGCTACGGGCCTGCTAATACAGACTCAGAGCTGAAATAATAGAAAATAATTCCACTATTTCCAGAAGAATTCATACCAGCATATGATGCATCATAGCAACAGTTCAAATATACTAAGATTCAATGTAACCCTATGCATAGAATCAGTGCTTTTAAAGAGGCTTTGCTTCCAATGAAGTAATTAGTGGATCTGGAGCTTGATGGTTAAGGTGCTTGCCTTCCAACCCAGAATTCTGGGTTCAAATCACATCAGGAGTTTAAATTTAACAGTACTGAACTGCAAAAAAAAAACTCCCTCCTCCAATGGAGGTATATGGTACCCTAGTTAGGTATGTAGTGATGGTGGGTTGTTGGGCCAGCCAGTCTAAAATTTTTCACCAAGTCTGAAGTTAATTTCTTCACCCATCCCTCCACCCATCTTAATTAACCCCTCGTGCACACATCCTTAAATCCACTCTCATTATTTATAGTTTACCAATGTCATCACACACCCACCATTAAAACGTCTACTCCCAACCCTTAATTTCTACTACAGTACAACTCTGCTCCATGCTTTTCCCAACCTTCAAAAAGATACTTGTTTATAAAAGCATCATTCCATTTTGCAATTGGCAAGTGTACTTGTTAATATACATAAACCTGTACTATTGTACTTTATGCTCAAAACACTGTTTTCTTTCCAAATAAATATTGGCCATAGTATACTTTCACTTGTGTGTACAGTATCTAACTCTTAATGCCTCACCTATGCAGCTACATCAGTATGTGCAGGTATATATATTCCTATACCTATACCTATGGTCGAAAGTACTCATACAATAAATATTTTGTTCTGAGGCAAATACATAAACTTTCGGGTATATGTATAATGTACTGTTCTGCAGTGTAGCAACATAAACTATAAAGTTCTTTTAACTTTTTGCTGAAGTGCGTATGCTTTATACGATTGAGCGCTATTATTATTTATTTATATATATATATATATATATATATATATATGTATATATATATACTGTATATATATTATATATTTATACATGTATGTGTATATATGTTTCTATTTGTGTTCTGACTTTCACTTTACAGTGATTCAGCCTTGATTTTGTCTAGGTCACTAGAAATTGCTTTCAAATATTCTGCATGTGATTTTAACAACTTGGGATGTTTACCACAACACGTGTCACTGATGATCTCACTTCATTCACGAACACTCGACATATTGTCTCCATTTCCAGTTGTATTAGCATTCGCAGTTTCATTTGATCCATATTCTCTAACGTAATCCATTCTCACGTATTATAAGACTAAAACAGCTCAAAAAAGAACTATTATGAGTGATAAAATAATAATATTTATAATTCTCAGATAAGTTTCTTTTCGTTTAGAATGAGGTAAACTTAAAATAAAATAGGTAATGCATTTCCTTTTGAAGTATCATTTAATAAGAATGTGATGTAAGAAAAGATTATAAACAAGTTGAGTATAGGACCCCAAGAGTGAGGATGATTCACTAAATTTGTACAGGTATGGTTTAGTTTATACCATTACCATTGGACCATTTCTCTGTTGTTCATTGCACAGATAACTTTATTCTTTAGTCTTGAAGCCTTTGTGAAGTCAACAGTAGCAGTTCTTGCAAATTCTCTGCAAATGGAATTTTAGTAACTTAAAGACTATTGTTTTTTGGTTGTGGAAATTCCTATTTTTAAGTGTTTGTTCAGCCATCATTTTGTCCATTTTTCTGATGTTCATGTTGTTCAAAATGCATTTGATCAACAATTGTAAAGAGTAAGTATTTACTAACGAGTTGCAGGCTCGTGGGTCAGAGTTCACACTATGGAAAATAATTGCGAACTTTAATGTCTATTTTCCTTTATATTTGTATTGTCTTAATAATTTGGTTACTAGTTTAGTAGTTGTGCATTTTTATTTGTTTTGATGTTTTTTGTTGCATGAAAATTTTTTTTCTTCTTTAGTCATTTCATTTCATATATTTAGGCACGAGCGCCAAGGATATGCCAATGTGAACTTAATGACTGTCATACGTGGCGTATCCATTTAACAACAGGGGACTTAATATACCAGTATACCAGGGTAACCCCCTACTCTTCTCGCAGGATGTACTGGGTTCAAGTGCACACGAGCCAAATGCATACACTGGGCCAAGGGTTTAAAGTGCTTATCCGAAAAGACTTCCACCACCACTGAAGCCACGGACTACGGTAAACCGCTTGGCCAATCATCTCACCTAAATCACGTCTATGCTTATGTCATTTCAGTTCTATATGATGGTCATACTATAATGTCATTGTATAATAATTAAAAACATAAATTAATATCGGCACTATTCACATTACTGTACATTTATAGTGGGGGGGGGGTAACTTAAACCCTTAAACATAAATATCAATAATGCTTTCATTTACAACTAGATTGTTATGTATCATTTGTTGTTTTTTATATTTGACAACAATTTTGAATAAAGAATAACAATTTGTACTGATAAAATTATCTCAATTAATTTACATTTTTAATATGTTATATGATTTATTGGTTATTTGATTGTACTAATTAATTACTTGATTGATATTGTTTTTGTAGGCATTTGAGGTTTCAGAGAGGGAGTAGTTGTGCATTTTTATTATTTTAATTGTTTTTACATTCTTTGATGTTTGAATGTTTTGTTTTTTTTTTCAGCCATGGCTATGCTTGTGACAAATTATAGGGAGGTTATATTGTGATGTCATCAGAATAATTAAATTAAATTAAATTAAATACATGAACTACTGTACTATCAGCAACATTCACTTGACCCTACATTTATATGTAGTGGGGCAGGGGCGTACGGTGAAAAATCTAAGGGGGGGTCGAAACGAAAGCGCAGGGGGAAAGCTGAACTCGGAGCAATTTAGTGAAGCTTTCAGAATTCGCGGGGTGCGTTATTTGTGAGTGAAGCGAGCATATTTAAAGGGCACTTTCTTTAAAAAGGGGGGGGGTCGACAGCACCCATCAACCCCCCCACGGTACGCCCCTGTGGGGGTAACTTAAACCCTTAACATAAATACTGATAAGGTTTACTTATTGTTATCATATTCATCATTTTGTGTTTTTTATGTTTGATAACAATTTTGAGTAAGGAATAAACATTTGTAATAACAAAAGGTATCTCAATTAATTAACATTTTTAATATATGATTGATTGATTGATTGATTACTTGATTGATGTTGTTTTTGTAGGCATTTGAGGTCGCAGAGCGTGAGCTCGGCATCCCTGCCTTGCTCGACCCTGAGGACATGGCATCTATGCTAATACCTGACCGGCTTAGTATCCTTACATATGTCTCACAATATTATAATTATTTCCACGGGAAATCACCAGGTAGGTTATGCACTTGCATCTTGTCTGTCTTCCAATTTGAATAACATTTCAAAATCTTCCTTCAATTTATTTTTCATAATTAATTTTTAATTTTTTTCATGTATTGTTTTGGGAAAACTGTCAGTGTTTGTAGGTTATGAACCCATCAAAACTGTTTTGTTTTGCCATAATCATCATCTGAAACCCAATAAAATTATTCTCCCTGTCAGAAGTAATTAGTATGTTGTAGTGAGACTTGTCATGTGACCACAACAAAAGAGTAAAGCATCTTATATTCTAATTTTTCAAAATTAACATTATAACATAAATATATTTTGTATCATTCCTGATAAACTTTGGGAATTCTAATTACAGTACAGTATCATTTTTGCTCTGAAAAACATAGTCTTTACAAAATACAGGGAATATAAAATCATCCAGGTATTACAATGTCATACTTTAAGCCAGCTGTTATTTCCTGTAGATACAAACAGTTTTGTCCTTAAAGTTTGACTCAACTCAAATCATAACTTTGTTATGACAATTATAGATTTCCTGTCAATTTAATGTCATAATATTCCATACAGTTATATTCCAAACATTTATTATCAGCATTGGTATCATTTTGGCTGACATGTATGCTTAATTTTTTCTTATTGTAAACTTTGTGTTTGCTAGCCAACTTGTTAATTGTTACCAACTTATTTTTCTGTCAAGGCGTGTTTTGTTTTCATGCTGAAGTACTCATAACTGAACAGGTGGCAAAGATGAATTATTAATCATATTTTGTGTTACGATATTATAATGGCCAAGGTATATAGTAATAAGAATCTGTGACCTATGTTCAAGGTATATTACAGTAGACTCCTTGACCAAGTTTCCCTTCATGATTTTGCCTTTTTGGATCTTTTTTTTTTGTATGTGATTGAAATACTGGCATACAAATTTGTATCTGTCAGACTAATCTTGTTTGATTACGTGATAAATAGATCATTTTGCAAATTCCATCAGATGTGGGATATGCACATAATTTGTGAAATATTCATGCTGTACTCAGATAAAATCAGTGGGCAGCCAGCTTAATAAGGTTGTACACATAATTACAACCAAGTCTTTTTACTGAGAAAGCCAAGCTCTAGGGAAAAAAAAAAAAACTTTTCTGATATGCTGTACAACTTACTTTTTTTAGGACACAAAAATGGTGTATGAGTAAGAACTCAAAAAAAGGATAATGAGATAGATACACATTTTTGAGTAAAGACTTGGGAAAAATGGTTAATGGCTTAAAATGGTTTTAAATTTATATAGTGCAAAATACAAAAAGTCTGTATGTGCTGTGCAACGGATTTTTCTAAGGCATAAAAAGGGTGTATGATGAACTCAGGAGAGGATAATGAGATACAAATTTTTGAATATTTAAAATGGTTAATATGGTTTTAAATTTATAGAGCGCAAAATACAAAAAGGCTGTATGCACTGTAAACACAATGTGTAGAGATGCTTGGAAATATGAAAGAATTAAAGTAAAGAAAGACGAAAGTGCCAAGCCAGCACCCCAAACCGCAGTATGGGGATACTTACGCCCTCGTCGCTAACCAGGAATTAATTTTATTGAACCCTGGTCAGTAAAACAATAAAAAAAGGGAAAAGAAAAAGGGGTGTAACCACAAGCCAAACCAAACCAAGAAATGTTTACAATTATGAGATTATCGAATGAATATATCAATTAAGGTTGATATCTATAAAAAAAAAAAATAATGTTTTCAGCGTTGTACAATATCTTGTGTCAAAATATATCCGAAGCTTGACACGTTTATTTGCCTAAGAGTTATATAAATATTGGGCGAGACTTGCAACAATGCACGCTTCTTCTACTGTAAATATTTTGTATTGCAAAGGACATGGTCTGAGCCTTACTGTAGTCCAACACATTCTTCTCTGTCACATTTTATATACATACATTAAATTCCATGTTTGCTATAATTAAATTAATTCTGTCAGCACATGTTTTTAGTTGGATTTCATTATATATATTTTTCTATTATTGTCATGTTATGTGGATTGTCATAAAACATTATTTGCATTTTTAAAAAATTGGTTCTTTGCCCTTTGCAAATTTGATCCAATATAAGCAATAATAAAACAGTGTGTGGCTATATTTAGACCCAAGAGAGCAGGGCTACTATGAGGGGAAATCCCCTTGAATTTGTACAAAATTTTATAAAGTAGTTGCAGGTTCCATAATAATAATAAATTTAGCCACTGAAAATATATCAGTTATTGGCAGCCATTGACTAGAAAATCTAGTTATTATATTACATCTCATTATAATCTTAGATTATATTATATTTAACAATCCTGTATTATATTACATTATATTATGTTGTAAATACACATGGGCTAGAAGATTTCTAATTATTTTCTTGACATAAGATGCTACCATTTTAAAAATGTACTGTACTGTAAATATATCTGCAAAAGTACATACTTAAAACCCTTGAATTGTTGGTAATATTAAAACACATTCTGTAAGGGGTTAAAAGGAGGGAAAGTAATACTGTAGGAAAAGAGGAAAGGGATTAAAGTGAAGGACATTTTAAAAAGCAGAGGTGAATTAATAAAGAGAAGAATACAGGAAGGCTAATTGTAGAGAATAAATTCATTCAGATTTTTTTTAAACAATATTTCAAATTAAATTTTGATAATCTGAGTAAGACTAATTTCATCTCAAGTGCTCCATTCGATTCGATTTAAAAGTTATATTTCAAGCATAGAAAGTTTGAAGCATATTTTAAAAGTTTTGTATTACATAAAAAAAACGACCTTAAATTCTTGTGTCAAAACCATTTTGAGAGTAAATATTACAAGGATGACATGTGTTGAATACATCAGCGGATGTACAAATGATAAAAATAAACAAAAAAAGAAATGAAGGCACATAAGTCAGGGGTATCCAAGCATCAAGTGTAGTAAAAAAAAATATGAATAAATATAGTAAGTTACTATAGAGTATTGCATCATTAATTCTCTAGTGAATTACTATTTTATACTGTATCTGTTGAATTTTGAAATCATAGTGAATAAAGCGATCTCAAATCATGATTCTTATTTATTTACAATATTTTATTCTTGTCTTTTTTTCTACATCGAAATTTGATCAGAGGAAATGACAATTTTGTCTTATTTCCTCTCTCGATCGACTGTGTCTGAAGAAAACTTTCTCTGTATATTGTGTTACGAATAATAAATTACATTGAGTATGGAATAAAACACAGGTGTATCTTTTAAAATTTTCAGCAAAGAAACGTCCAAAAGGTATGTTCTGAGGGATTGATTGCTAGTCATCAACCTGATATAATTTTGTTATGTTCATAGAATATGAATTGCATGCATCTTGACCTATGAAGCACATAATTAATAGACAATAGCAGTATGCATGGTTACCTCATTTGCATAAAGGTGGTAATACCCATATTTGGTCAAGTGATTTGATTGGCCAGGCATGATCATTTTCAGTAATATTAGTTATATTAATTTTATATTATTTTGATGCAAGCTGGCTTGTAATTTAATTACTGAAATTATTTTTGTTTTTTGTTGATTTAATTTCCTTTTGCTAGGCTTGATCATTTTACATGATTAGTTATTTTTATTTTTTAAATATTTTCTTTTAAAATGGCATATGATTTTGAATGCAAATAAAATTGTTAGAATAATTTTTATGTTTCAAACCATAACTGCTAAGAATTTGTCTTTCTAAGTGTTCTTGTAATAAATTATTTTTATAGGAAATACTTTCTAATTATAATAATCATAAACTGCAAAGACTTTATATTTCTAAGTGTTTTAGCAAAATTTAAACCAATTTTATAGGAAATAATTTCTAATTTTAATAATTCTGTGACCAGTGCTACCATAGATTATTACAGTTGCAATTTTATTTTTTTTTCTTCAAAAGTACTTATAAATTAAATTAATATAGAAAGGGTAACATGGGAGCCATGATAAAGCTGCATATGCTATGCGTAGAGGAGATTGCAGTAATAAATATTAAGACTAAAGTGCTTAAGTTTTGAATTGATCCTGTATAGGATATTGTATCGCCTGTTAATATCTGTTTTGACTGGCTCAAGATTGACACTGAGAATGAGGGACTGAGGGGACTATAGGCAGGGGACGTAGGAGACGGAGGGTAGAGACTGGGGACTGAACTGATTGAGACTGTATTGGGCCGTTGCATCTTTTACGGTCCTTTCACAAACGCCTTTTAGCTCACGATTCAATCACTGAATGAGAAGTAAAAGGAACAGTGTTTTTAATATGTATTTACATTATATTTTATTGATATTATTTCGGATTAAATACATGATGGACAGGTACAAAAAATATTCTTTTAAAGCAGTACGGTGTATGGCAATGCTGCATGATTTTTGATGAATACCAAACCTTTTTCTTTAGTCTTGCATACCACTATCTTTTTGTTTTTCCTTCTTTTGCCTGCTTACCATCATTCAAGCTATTTTTACTTTTGAATGGATATGCACAATTCATTTGGGAAGAAAAGATTTACTTATAAAACAACAGCATAAAAAAGAATGCTTGGATAGAAATCTTCAATTGCTTAATATGTGTTTTTCTAAAGCATCACATCCCTACCATAGCAATCAAAGGGTGTTAACACGTTGACTGCCAGCGACGAGTGTACTAGTCCACAGGATGTTGCTGACGGCGCCAGGCACGAGTGTCCTCTTCAAAATCTGGTTATGTTAATTACTGTACTACTAAAAAAAAAAGAGGACTTAAAAAAAAAAAAGAAAAAAGAAAGAGTGCTTAAATTTGAAAATATTGTTGATTAAAGAAATAGCTAGAAACAAAAATCCAATTGAAAAGAATGTTTAAAAAATTATTTTTGTTATGTAACATGTGGCTGTGACGTTATCAGACACAAAATTTATTTTGTGTCTGCCTGAAGTTTGAAAGTAGTACTACTGTAGAGCAAAATTTGAATTGCATTGAATTGAATTATTTTGTATTTGGATATCTTTACATCAGTCAAGTAGAACTTGAGAAAGTGGCTTCCAATAGATTGCTTATAAGTTCCTATTATCCGATCAAGTTGGCATGAAACAACTTTATAGATGATGTCCTGTTTAAATTTATTTTTGATTGGCTCATGTCAAAAAGGGCCAACTTACTATAAAGCCATAATATGGAATAAATTAAAATTTAAAATTCCAGTAGTTAGAAACAATCATTTTGAACACAGATTTCATTTTTTTTTGTCTTGGTCATTGAATGAGGAAGCTAACCCAAATTACAGTATAGGCTTTATTGTACTGTATGATAAATGGATTTATTTTGAACACAATTTATCAGTTCTAGTTTGGCAGAGGTATTTTTCAATTTATACAATTTCAGAATATACAAACAAAAACTGGTAAGAAATACAGTAGGCATAATTTAGAATATTTACTATACTTTATTATTTATTTTTTAGCAAAATTTAGGTTGAAATCAGCAGTAATGTTATGTAGCGGTTTGAAAAAATATGCAAAGAGGGGTATTTTTGGTGCGAATCACACCAACAATAACCCACTGAGTCTGAAGACTTGTTTCCAGTGGGGTCTTCCAGGGGGTGAGTTGGGCAGATGACCAAGTTAAGCTCACTGGCCTAAAATAAAAATTTTCAGGTTTTTTGAAAGATCCAAAAATTATACCCCATAAAGGGAGACAGTTGCTTAAGCAAGCACCCTGAATACCACACCCGTTTCTTCCTTCTTTCTCTTCAAATTAAGTTCTTTCTATTTTTATCAAGTTTTACCAGCTCATACTAAGATCAGACATTTCAAGTGATAGGATTGTAGATTTAGCTTGTCATATTTGCTATATTCAGGATGTACTGACCTTTTAATTAATTAACTCATGAAGTGATGAACAAGGGAAAAAAAACTATGTAACGTGCCATTGCATTCTGGGTAGTGTACTTCATGTTAGAGCATGGGGCTCATGAGTTGTAAATTATACATGAAGCTATGATGAGGCTAGGATCATGAGGAGTTTGCCATTAATAAGAGAATACCACAATTATGGTAAGATTAAATCTTTTATATAAATTTTTAGATTAAATAATAGTTAATGATAGACAATTAATGAAATCAGTAGTTAGTTAAACAAAGAACTATTCTTTAAACGGTAGGAGTAATGTTGTGCCCTATCTGACGTTCTACCAGGGCAGTCCAATTCAACACTAGTCACTATGAACAAGCTTGGTAATCTAGTGGTTATGGTGCCAGGCTAGTTATCTAGAGGTTGTGGGTTCGATTCCCACACAAATCACTTGCGATTTTTTTTTCTCAAGTATTTAAAGCCGTATACTGAGTATTCACACTCCTGTAATATTTGATCTAACTAATCTTTTAATTTCATCATTTTTATAAAGAGTACAAAACTAAACATACAGTGTGCTATGGTACAGTATTTACTATAAAAAAGACAGATGATGATCTTAACTTAACAATAATCATTGTTTGGTATTATTATGTACTTTTTCAAGGAAAGGAAGAGGAGTTCACAAAAGTAGTTGTTTTGTACTCTCTTTAAGATAAGAGAAAAATGCAACAATAATAATAATTATAGTAATTATGATAATTATAGTAATAGTGTTAATGTTAATATTAAAGATTACAAGTCCATAAAATAATTGCTGCGAAGCAGCCAATTCATATTCTTGACAGCAATTTGACCTCTGAAAGGTCATTGTTTGTCAAAAAACCTGCGCCTAAGACAACCAAAAAGCGGACTTTCCTTCTTTCGTTCTGCCAGGTAAAATCAATTACTTTAGGCGACGTTTGTAGATTAACCTACTCATACCAACGTCCGCATGTCGTGACGCTGGAGTACTATTCAGCGTGTTTACTATATTTCTAGGTTTCCTATTTCTACGTTTAATCGGCTCATGTCTCAGCCACAATATTTTGAGGCCAATATTATTTACGAACCCAGTTAAACTTATTTACTAGCCTATTTCAACGTGCTAATTATTAAATTTAGGCGACACTTGTTGTAGACTGGCATACTGTTTTCGGAAATAAATACCATTTTAAACACATGCACAGATCGATTCGCCAGCAGCGAGTCATTGCCAGCAGCAGCGAGTCGCCAGCAGCGAGATGTCACTGCAGCAAAACACTATTGTACACGGTACCAACGCTGTTCTAATATAGACAATGGGTCTATTAATTGATAGTGATAATGAAATTGTGATATATAGTAATAGTAGCAGATCTAGAAATTTGAATTAGAGAGGGGGGGGGGTGGGGCCCTGGGAGGGGACTTTCACACATGGAGAGTCTAGGCCACCTTATTCCCACCAATGTTGGAGGTGCGGTAAGAAGATTTGATAGCACCCCTAGATTGCTGGAAATGGCATTCTCAGACCTAAATTTAATTTATATAATTTTCCTTTTCTTATTTATAATTTTGAAAAAGTTAGGGGGTGGGGCCGGCTTGCACCCACCCCTCCCCCTATCCCATGAATCTGCCACTGAGTAATGGTAATAATATTTTTTACTTGGGACCTGAAAATTTAGGGTTGTCTTGACGTTCGGTCTTCAATTTGAGTGTTAGTTTTGTGTTAAAAGATTGAAGATTGTTACTCAGTGCTTGGTCTCAGAATTAGAGGGGTCTAGAATTATAGGGGTGAACCATATTTAATTATGGAGCATAATATTATAATAAAAATAATACCATCACATTAAAATGGAATATAAAATTGTCATGTTACATATAAAGTAATGTACTGTATGCGTGTAATAGGCAGGAGGTAGCTTTGTTTGGTTAACAACAGGAATTAATTATTTACTTTTTTTAGTCTATCTAATTAATGTTTTAATCAGGTCAATTACTATTGTCTTGAAAAAGAAAGCACACAGTGCCAACTGTAACGCATTACAACTAATTAAAAAAAAAACGCTGAAGATGTTGCTAGTATAAAATTGATTAGGGGGAAGAAGGTAATGTGAATATTTCCCCCTCCCTCTTTATTAAAGGGGAAGGAGGGAAGTTCAACATACACCAAGGATGTGTCAATCCAAGTGGCAGCGAAAATTTCACTTACTATAAGTAGGAGTATGGTATATAAAAGGCAAAAATAAAAGGAAATATGTGAATATACCCCTCCCAAAAAAAAATATATTAAAGAAGGGGAAGGAAAAATGTAAAGTCACCCAGGATGTTTTAATTAAACATCTGTGGGGTATTCATGAAGGGGGAATTTGAATATGTTAGCATGTCTGTTTATATTCATCCTGTTTTGATCTGGCCGTCGCCGCCTGGGCACATGATAAGTGTGCCACTAATGGAGGTTAAAGTTCATGCACATTATCATCATGTTGCAAGGCCATTTCATTAATATTCGATCATTTTTTATAGCCTTTACATCATCCATCACTATTAACTATATGTATACCGCTATATTAATGAGTATGTAGGCCTATTCATTTCCTTGATATAAAATATCATGTTATAAATAGTCTCCATGATCAATAATTCCAAGTAAAAAAAAATGTAGTTACTCGTCCTAATATTTTGAAAAAAAAGGTAACGAGGGCACTTTTTTTTTTACTCTGGGATGGCAAATCAAAGATGGTTGATGGGGAAATAGCTTCTGCATCTTCACTTTTAACAAGTAGATACATTGAAAGCAAATAAAAGAAGCACTAGACATGATTCATAACATATGTATCCCTAACAACGCACGATCGCGAGTGGAATTTTTCCTGATATGAGTCAGCCAGATTTTTGTACATTTCGTAAAATAAAGGTATATTTATTATTTATTTATTTCATTTCATCAGACCAACAGCAAATCATCACCACTAACAGGCTGGTAAAATATATAAAATTTAAATATATCAAATATATAGACGAAAGAGTACAAAAATCTCGCCTATTCAAATGATTAATAATAATAGAACGAAATATAGACAAACTATTGTGAAAAATGTCAATATTAGCGGTTAAAATAAGAGAATTATATTGAAGAGAAAGTCTAGAAATAAAACTACGTTTACAGACATCAACTCTACAAAAGGGGACATTAAAGGTAGGACAGGAACGAAGACTTCTAGAATTAACATGCAAACCAAACAGATGTACAAGATCACTAAAGTACGAGTTAACACATTTATAGAGAAAAACCATATTGTGAAATAAAAATCTATTCCTAGGACACATTAATTTACAAGGGCGATTAAAACATTTTTCAAAAAACCTAATAAACTTAAGATGCATCCTATCGATGCGAATTAATATTGATAAAAACAGTTTGAATGGCCCATATACCAGGAGAACATATATAATCTGTACATTTATTTTCTATATAAAAAAAAGTTGGTGAGGCAGAGAAAATAGAATGCTCGAGGGGACGAGAAACTAGTAGTTTTTTTAATTTGGCCTAATATTTTTTTCCCATTCAAATAATATGCTTTATCAATTCAAATATTAATTTTGTTGTTCATTTCATCCATTTAGTATATTAAAATCTATACAATTTCATTTTGTACTAAGTAATTGGACAAATTCGTATAAAAGTGGTATGTTTGTTCTGGTGCCTTCCTGCTAATAATCAAGGTTATTGAGGTTCAGCTCAAATAAACTACAAGCATGAATAAGCAAGAATAATCATCCTGCAAAAAAAGATCATCTTTCTTCAAAACAATGTCAGTGGGATTATAATAAATATTGATAAAAACAGTTTGAATGGCCCATATATTATATACATATATAATCTGTACATTTATTTTATATATCTTAATATTAACTGTATGATATTATGATGATAGTACAGTATTATTATTTTTCTGTAGAACATACAAGAATTTAAAAAAAAAATAAAGCATTGGCAGTGTTGTTAATCCGCAAAGCTCTTTGTTAAAAATGGGACAATAAGCCCAAATATTTATAGTAGTGTACAGCTAATAGAATTACATATGCAAAAAAATTTAATTCATTATCTTATTCTATAATTCTATGTTATTATATTTATATGTCTATATTTTTGCTTCCTCAACCAACACTCTTTGTAGGCATAAAGCAGGGAACAACATGAGGGAGGAAAATCTTTTGTATACCATTCTCTTCCACCAGACATGATTTTTTTTTATCACATTGCCATAGTTCTGTGGGTTTATGACTGCCCCTTTAACATGCAGTCAAGTTGAGATAGGAAAAGAGGTTGAGTTTATACCCAAGGACCAGGAAATACCAGGTCAATTGTCTAGCTTACGTCTCATAAAATGATCAGGAGGGGCGCCAGGATTTTCCTGGGGGGAGGGAGTCTGAGGTCTCGAAGTCCCAACAGGAGTGACATAACTTTCCTGGCAAGAGCAAAGTGGGCATGGTCAGATGTCACTCAAAATTTTTCAAAAGTGGTTCTGGGCCAAATTCCCGAAAAGTAGGATAATTTGGGGGTTTCAAAGGCTTATTTATTCAATTTTAGTCTGATAATATGTAGAAAATACATAGATAATTTCAATCACTCTCAGGGGTGGCGCCCCAATGAATAAATGAAAAATACAATATATTTAGAGTATGTTGTCTTCTTTTCTTGACAGGTGGGGGAATTGCCAACATTGGCAAAAAAAGAGAAAAATCAGTGGCAAAGGTGAGAATTCTACTTGCTGACATTTTAAGCTGATGCATACTGCACTGACGGTCATCAACCGACAAAATTCAATAAAAAAGCAGTGCGACGGGGCACGCGCAATTTAATTTTAGTTTTTGTATTTTTTTTCCTGATCAAGTTGTTTGTTATTATACAGTACAAAGTCATCTCTTCAAATGGTACTGGACTCATAATATTATAAATCATTATTGTAATTTTTTGGGATTTTTTAAAATAATTTTTCTTGTAATTAATTTTGCACCAACATAATGTTATACTGTTATAATTACTGCTACTTTTATTATAATTAGTAACATATTAGTAGTAACAATATTATATTACAACCTCTATATATTAGGGTCCCCATAATAATAGGGTATCTCCTGAATATTGGTTGGGTACAGTGTGAAAAGATATATTTTCTCTCAATGCATGGCCAAAAATGTGTTCTGTAATAATGGTGTCACAATGGAGGAATTCTCCTGTATTTGAAGTGAACACACATTTTGAATTTAATCCTTATGTCAGAATTATAAATAACAGATTTGCATACATGAATAGATACTTATTCTTTTGGTTTATCAGAAATAATTAACAGATCTCTTTCTTGTTGCTTATATCCTATAGGACCCGAGTGAGCCCCCACGGAAGATCTCCACAATGGGTGACAAATGTATATCATGTGGTAAAAAGGTTTATTTAATGGAGCGGTTGGTGATCGAAAGCAAACTCTTTCACAGAGCGTGCTTCAAATGTAAAACATGTAAGGCAACTCTTCGTTCAGGAACATACAAGAAAACTACAAATTCTGCTGAGTTTGAATGTTTGCATCATGGCAACGATATCTGGAAAATACGAGCAAACTTTTCCGAGAGAGCCTCTGTGAAAACCACACCTAAACCTGTAGCTGTCAGTGGTGGTGAAGACATCTGGCAAAGTCAGTCAGCTAAACCAGTTAAGATGGAGATAGTGGAAGCTCCAGTTGAAGAATTCAAGGAGCCTGCAAAAGAGGATGATCCCTGGGCATCAAGGATCGATCTGATCCCTAACCAGAAGGAGTCGCCGAAGATTCCACGTCGCCAGCAGAAACCAGATCCTGCTGGAAAGCCAGATTTGGTGCAGAAACCAGTTGGAGGAGTAAAGCTACCAACAGTTTCACTGCATCCTCATCTCCTTGCAGCACAGACATCGCGTGAAAGGTTTCAAGGGACGGATGATACCAGGAAGGGTCTGATGAAATCACTGGCAGCTGTCAGAAGTGATTATGATTCCTCAAGCTTTGGTAGTAAAGACAGTTTAAGTTCTACCTCAAGTCGTGAGAACATGACCTCCAGCTCTGAAATACTAACTCCACCACCTCGCCAAAAATCAACCCCCAAGGCAGTGAAAGATTCCCCATTTATAACTAATCAAGGTTCCCCCAGCAATTTAGAAGCTCCACCGCGAAAAAAGGGAGGGTTGAAATCACCACTTGCAATGAAAAAGACTGAAAAACCAGCAGAAACAGATGATAATGTTAAACAAAACAGCTCAAAAACTATAGAAACAAGTGTTGTGAGTGTTGTCGAGAAAGAAGTGACGCCAGCAGATGGGATACAAAGAGGTGAAGACAAGAGCAAGAAAGTACATGAAACTGAAGAAAACAAAAAGAAAGAATATGAAAAAGATAATGAAAAGGACAAAGATGATATGGAAGGAGTTGAAGTTGATGAAAAGGGCAAGTTAGACCTTGAAGAGAAGGGCAAAGTGGATGAAAAGAACTCGGAGAAAGATGTTAAAAATGAGCCAACAAACCAAACAAGTAGTGAAGGAGAAGACTCCACAAAGAACGTAACAAAAATTGAAGTGGGTGAGTCAAAAACAGAGATTGAAATCACTGTTGCTGAAAATGATAATTACGATGAAGACAAAAATCCATTTGCTGAATCGGGGGATTCAGACTATTCAGGAGATAACCCTTTTGGAGAGGTTGACTCGGATGAGGATTATGATGAGTCTATGAACCCATTTAAAGACGAGGAAGAACATAAGGAATATGATGAGGGAGTAAATCCATTTACTGGCTCGCCACCAAAAAACTTCCCGCCGCGAACACCACCCTCTAAAACCCAGGAAAACTCTGGGGTTTCGTACTCCGTGAAGAGTAGGACTGACATTCTTAAAGAAATGCAACGTGATCGATCCACATTGAAACAGAAGAAACGACGTGCACCGCCACGCCCCAAGGCGCCTCCTGGTCAGTCACCAGGTGCGGCAGGAGGATTAACTCCACCTCCGAGGCAAGCAAAGAAGAAAGACCGTAAAGCACCACCTCCGCCAAAAGCGGGTGACGATGGCCAACTGGAGTTTCAGAAGTTGCAGCAGAAGATGTTGCAAGGAAAGGATAATGGAAACATACGACCAGCATCCCCAAGGTAGTAATACTTTATTTTAATGTATTTATTGGTTTAATGATAAGGTATTAAAGCAGTGCATGCAAAGATGTAGCATTAAGGTAAAATGTTTGCATTACAATAAAATATAATCACCAAACAGCACAATATAAGCAAAATGACAAATGGTTTAAATTTGCCTAATTTATAGACTATACCTGTTAGTGTAATACGTAATCAAAATATCGAAATGCATGCCATCATGTTGGGATTCGATAATTTGACATTAGCTATGTCATCATCAGGAATTTAGACATTAATTATGTCATGAAATTTTATTATTAAACACTCCATTCCCTAATTGTCATAAATGCATGGATAAAGCATTGTTCCAAAGCACTGTAATTGAGGAGTGTACTTGTTGGATCTAAAAAAAGAACTTACATAAACATGAATAAATGATTATCAACACAAACTATTATACATCATTGTTTTTTGTTAATAGCAATACAGATATTGTTTTCAGAACTATCATTTTAATATTTCTGTCTTTTTTTTTTTCTTTCAGTCAATTACGTGTAAATCAAAATGGAATTAACCGAACACCTGGTGGGACCCCTGTAAGTCAGATTTTTATTGCGAACAAATTATTAATTTATGACCAGATTTAGTTACAAATATGATGATATTTGCATTTAATCAATTTGTATTCTAGTGTATTTCACAAAATAATAATAAACACTACATCTTCATTGTAATGGTAGAAGCATCCTCGTTGCAGCCCTGGGTAATGCTAATTCTACCACCACCAAAACACACACAAGATAGTCAACATCTAAATCTTCAACCATTTTCATCATGCCATCTGATGGACCGGACCTGGCCTGGCAGAGTGCAATGATTGTGCTAGAAACTGTGTCCAGGTCTGACTGAAACAAAGTATCTAGCAAGTATGTAGACACGATAAGGAGAAAATTGAAGATTGGAAAACAATTCCAAGCTCTTCTATAAGGCGTTGTTTTATGGAAATATGTAATTGTTTAATGTGTTTTTGTTTTTTTCTCCTAGGACATAGCCAGGAAGCGGAAATCTCAAAAGACATTTAAAGCGCCTCCGCCTCCCCTCATAAAACGAGAGGTAAGTCATAACGTAGAGCAAAGTATCATAAAATGTTATTGTGTTAAAGATGGTCAAATTAAGTCTGCATAATAGATGGAACGTGTTTCAGTATTTCCCGGTAGATTGGATTCAGGGATTTTCTTATTTTATCTTGGAAAATCTACTCTTTTTGTTTTCATAGCTGCAACTGTGTCACTAATGTTTTTCTAAGGACAAATTTCGCACACACCGCCACCCACCCAACCCCCTGTCTCTTATACACATCTAGATGTGTATAAGAGACAGCATTATAGAGGGAACATGTTTCTCTATTTCCAAGTAGATTGGATTCAGGGATTCTTGTATTTTGGGAAAATGTAGTCTTTTTGTTTTCATGGCTGCAACTGTGTCATCAATGTATTTTTAAGGACAAATTTCACCTCTCCACGCAAAATAATGTTTAAACATATTTCTAATTTTGAGTGATCACAATCATCATCTAAAATCATGGAAAGTACAATGAATAAAATATGTTTACCCTGAATTGTTTACCAAGTGTGCTCATTAAGTTTTTCATAAATAATATACTTTCCAATATAAATTATTGAAAGAGTCAATCAAGGCTTTAGAAAGCAATCAGTATTCATATAGTTTATTTTCACATGGATTTACAGTACTTGACTCATCAAAACTTCTTTTTCATCAATACTGAATAATGCCATAAAAATAACAAAATCATTAAAAACACTACTTTAGCATCAGAAAAAAAATATATAATGGTATTAGAAACTCTTCATATTATGTTTATATAATTTGAATTGTTCAGATTTTTTTGCAAAACTTATGGTTATAGAAAGTAATTCTTCTTCTACAGTTTGAAAAGAACAATGGTATCTGTATGTAATATACAATTGTATAATCAATTTCTCTATAATTGAATTCTAACGATCACTGGTTTCACTCTCACTGACATTTGATAGGCCTATATTTAAATGAATTGATTCTGAAATTCGGCTAGTATTCAAACAGGAATTATTAGATATGTTTAGGAAAAAACGGCCAAAGGTAAGTACAAGTTGGTCCTTGCAGTATTTTTATTTATGTTTTTATACATTTTTAAAATTCTTTTTTTTACTTCACCCATGCAAACCATGAGCATGGACCTAATCTATAAGGGTCAAATGTCAGTGTTACTAAAATAAACAACGTATCTGACCAAGTTTATCCATACTTGCAATGTATAATATTTGTGATGCTTTTCCTCATTTGGAGATGCCTATTATTATAAAGAATGAGTTTGTAATTTGGCTTTCGTCTTTTCTACGCTTGCCAGGGGCTTTGCTAGCTGGGGGTCCAGGAAAAAAAAATTAATCAATCAATAAACAAACGAACAAAGAATTAACAATGAAAAATTTACAATAAATAAATAAAGTGAAAAAGCATGCCTTACTAAGCTGTCAAAATTCCTTGCACCACGCCTGACTCTTACTCAGGGAGTCTTGTAAGTTTAAATATGAAAAAAAAAATTACTTTCCAATTTAATCTTAATTCTGTGTATCTTTCCAGGTGGAAAAGCACCATGTTGACACCCTTGTTATCCAGCGGGAATTGAAAGAAATTGAAATCAAACAAAATGACTTGGAGAGGAAAGGAGTGAAGTTGGAAGAAAAGCTAAGAGAACAAATGAATGGTAAGAAAAGAATAGTAGATGAGATATAGCATTGTATGTATACAAGCTAGTTAGAAGCTTAACCATAGTTCCTATTAGAGTTAGTTGGCCGAGCAGTTAAGGGCAAAGTCAGTTGTACGAGAGAATGCATCTGAAGTTTAGATGGTGCTGCTATGGTGTGGCTGTCTGTTGTTAGTGTGACAATTGCCTTGATAGTGAGAGGTTGTGGGCTATATACAAAAATAATAGGGAAATGACAGTGTTTGATTAAAACACAGGTGGGCAAAGTGCAGCCCACAGGCCACATGCAGCCAGATGGTGATTCTGTTACAGCTCGCGAAAATAACTAAAATCCTTACGTGTGCGGCCCACCAACCATCTTTGGCTAAAAAAAAAAAAATCCTTTTTTTGTACAGCTCAACTCCAATCGTTTGTAAAAAGCAATATTAAAACTGAGGATATTGTGGTATAAAAGCAGTGCATAGGTTTTTGGAAGCACACTGGAAAAACCAAAGTTTGCGTACAGCTCTCAGTGTAAAAAGGATACTTGCCTCCCAATACCAGGGTCCTGGGTTCAAATCAGTTTTCTCACTACCAAAACAACTTCTCATATTGAGATTTAGTTTGTGTGAAGCATCGTGTGTATGTTTGTCTTGCAAAAGGGATTGTCACCTACAAGTAGGACAGTGATATATTCGCTATTGACAATCCTTGCTGCATGTGCCGTGTACCTAAATAAATAAAATTTGTATTTCTTCCAGAAGATGGTGCTAATGATGAAGGTCTGTTGATTGAATGGTTTGAGCTTGTCAACAACAAGAACCAACTGGTCAGAAGGGAAGGTGAACTTGTTGCACTGTAAGTCATATGTTTCCTCCAGTATGATATGTGTGTGATACTGAGGGCAGTATTAATGCTACTCTAATTCTAACTGAGACCCGATATCATATTATTAAGTTTGGGTCTCATGTGGTGCATACAATCGTAAGCAACCACCTCTTGTAAATGACCACTTTCCCTGGACCAAACAACGATTGCTTATGAGAGGTTCAACTTGCCAAATAAATTTTATTTTTATGATCCAGTGTCATATTCTCACTATACAGATAATGTAACTTTTATCAATCGTGGCAAGGCAATCCAAACTAGTCACTCGTCACAAAAATTAATTTTTAGTTATTATCACAGGATTAAACAGTAAAATGAGAGGTATAAAATGGTAAAAGAATCATTAAAATCCAACATTTCGTTATGAAGTTACGTGAGTTAAAACAACAGCTGTTTAAAGAAATTATTTGAGAAATCAGCCTTTCAAGTTATGATTTTCGGCATTTCTTAGGCAGCAGCCATAAACAAATCCTTAAAATTTGTTGTTTTTAACATAAAAATGAGGAAAATAGCATAGCATGATGTATAGATATATTAAAGTTAGTTTAGTGCAATAAAATAGATTTCCAAAATTTTGACATTCCAGCATTTTTTTGGCCGTTATCTCCAAAGCAAGATTTGCGATGAGAGACTGGTTTGGCTTGTCTTTGCCACAATTACTAATTTGATATAACATTATGTTTATGTTTACAATTAAATTAATAATTGAATTTCATATGATTTCAGCGCCCAGTCACAAGAGTTGGAGAAGAAACACGCTGAGATTGAGTTTGATCTGCGGCGGATTATGCTAAAGCAGGAACATGAAAAAACCGATGCGGACGCCATTGAAGAACAACGGTTACTGGACTTACTGGTGGATGTGGTGACAAAGCGTAGTGAAGTGGTAGACAGGCTCGAGAACGACAGAATACGTGAGGAGCAGGAAGATGAAAATATACGCGTTATGATGAGAGAAAGTGGTACGTCAGTTTGATGTTTTTGCTTTATTTGAGTACTGTAATTTAAACAATTTTGTCGTAAGTATAAAAACAGACTGCAGTGGGGGAGGAGTGGGGAACCACCCCCCCCCCCCACAGCCTTGCACAGTCTGGCTCAAACGCTAAAGAAAGAGAGACGGGCACTCCGGCCTGCTTCAGGTTTCAAACATTTACCTTATTAAACAATATAGAATTTGACGTGTAAAATGCATTGTTCCATCAGCAACATTCTGTATTTTATTTCCTGAAACGGTCTCCCTCCAATTAAGGACCACTTTTGGGACCAGGGTTTTCACGGTCTTTTTAACAGCTTAGTTCTCTAATTAGAATTAAAAAGATCAAAGACAATTGTGAATTCGAGGCCATAAATATATTTTTGTAATAAATTTAAATTAAGGATACCTTTATTTCCATTCAATAATCTTTTATTTTCAGCAAATTATGTAATTAATCTATATGATAATATCTGTTGTTACTTTTAATCGTGTTAACACATCTTTGGACAACCTTGTTACATATGCGTATTAGGTACAAGTCAATATACACTAATTCTGTTAGATTTGTGTATTTTAGCAGCTCAAACAATGGTCTTACCAATTTTAATTATACTCCTTATGTTGTTTGCTGTCTCTTATACACATCTAGATGTGTATAAGAGACAGCTGTTTACCTCATCATCACTGATATATTTTTTTAATTGCTCTGTTTTCACGTGTGCGTGGGTCCCACGATCTTCACTTTTTGACACTTCCTGGTCTAGCAATCTTCGTCCGTGTGGGTAACATATCCAAACTTTCGGAGGCGTCTTCTAAGCAGAATACTAATATTCTCAATCTGTAGCCTAGTAGGAGCTCTGAGTTTGGGATTTTGGCCGAGTGATATGTTACGCCCAGGGCTTGTGATTTGAGGCGAAAGATTGCACTCGCACACCTCAGCACGCTTTGAAAATCACCTTAAATCTAGTAAGAACCCCAAATACTGGGGCAATGCTTTCTGCTATGATGCATTTTGTGTTGCTTTGAACTCTAACACCACTTTAATGACTTCATTAGTAATTATGTGCGTAAAAATATTCCACAGAAATTTAATTTCCCCCCACCCCCAAATAATCACTTGCCTGAACAAAACTAGGTGTGTCTTTTTCAGCTCGCATTTCATTTTCATATAAATAGCCCTGTAAAGCTGATTACCATGAAATCACTGATTGGTTGGTCGAATCAGGAAGCCTTACTAATTGCATTGGGGACACATTTTAATGGTTGCAGTGAAAACACTGTAGCAACAATGTAGCAGTTTTATTGAATCCATGCTTTACACATCCATCGCATTATGGCATCATGCCAACTCTAAACTGATTAACATATTTTCAGCTTTTACTCCATCATACATAATGCAAATTTATATCGTTGCAGGTTTAAGCAAGGACCCTGTAACATCACAGAAGGTGAAGAATAAGAAAGAAAAGAAGGAAAAGAGGAAATCCAAAGGAATATTGTGGTGATGAGGGTGCTATAGAGGGAGCTATATAAAATATTTCATCAATGTAATGGCAAAAGGTCAATGCACTTTTACATAATTTCATAAGACTCAAATTAGCAGACTGAACATAGCACATTTGCTAAAGTCATATTTGATCGAACAAAAAGCAAATATTTTATATAAACTTCATTACACAGATGAATTTTTTTCAAGAATTAATTAGTTATATTGATTTTGTTGGTGTATTTTTAATTTTTACTTTACCATTTCATTATTCTGTTCTTTTTTACCATTTCATTTATTGATGTGTATTCAAATGTTATTTATTATTTTTCCATATTTTTTATTATACCATGATGATTCTTTACCAGATTTGCCTTAAATGCTTTGCAAATTCCATACAGTATTTTTTTTTATCTATGCAAGGCAACATTAGTGAGAAATATGTTATCTTTTAAAAAATTATTGGTAATCATTTTAAAATTAAATATATTTTTGTAATAAATTTAAATTAAGGATACCTTTATTTCCATTCAATAATCTTTTATTTTCAGCAAATTATGTAATTAATCTATATGATAATATCTGTTGTTACTTTTAATCGTGTTAACACATCTTTGGACAACCTTGTTACATATGCGTATTAGGTACAAGTCAATATACACTAATTCTGTTAGATTTGTGTATTTTAGCAGCTCAAACAATGGTCTTACCAATTTTAATTATACTCCTTATGTTGTTTGTTTACAATTCAAGGCAAAGAAAAATATATAAACATTTCAAATAAATATATAAAAACTGTTGATAACTTTTATTTTGAGTGTAGTACAACATGGAAAAATTTTCAGTAATATTACAATGTTAATACATTCCATTCTTAAAGTTTTCACGTCACAGTTATGCATACCATATAATGCTTTCTAACAGAGAGACACATCCTTTAAACAAGGCTAATCACAGACAGTCCTGAAAAACACTGTATTTTTGTGCCTATGACCATGGAAATTGTTTTTATGAACTGTCCCCATCACCAAATGTTATCTGTATGCTATAAGACACTACCGTATATTCTCACGTACATGACAAGTCTTAAAATAGCAAATTACGATCGAGAAAGCGGGGTCGCCTTACATGCGTAACACGTACAGATTTTTTATTTTTTAAATCATATTCGTCTTATGTGTGGATCGTTGCTAACACATGCAGTTGCTAAATAAATGCAATTAATATGGGGAAATAAGAATTTGATGAACATTTGAAAGCCCATGAAATGGTATTATTTTGAAGATTGGCCCTACATTTGGCTCCGTTTTTAATGAGCTAGATGCAGTATCTTGACCATAAAAAGTAGTAAAAATGTAAGAGAGGTTGTCTTAAAGCCCATCATTCCAAAACATTGTCAAAAAATTCTCAAACTCAGGGGATTGTCAAATATGCTGATCGCCTTATATGCGAGTAAATTTATACGGTATATAGGCCAAAATTTGCTGTCTGGGACATGCACATCGCTGCTAGTATACTTTGTGGCTGTCTGGAATGTTAATAATGCCTCCGACTCCTGGTTGAGCGGTCGCACGCTTTTTTCCCAGCCCTGATTGCAGCCAACTAACTTGTCAGAGACTAGAAAATGAATATTCTCAAGAGATATACTGTATAATTTATAAATAGTATGTTTGTAGTATAAAACACTGTAAAATTATATATATATATATATAAATACAATAGTCAATTGAGGTGTAATTATTTCTCGTCTGAATAGTTATTGTTAATGCTATTAGCCAAAGTGAACCACATCAGCACTTAAAATGTATGCAACTTTAGTCTTAAGAGATAAACATAAGTTTTGCACTAAGTCGCGTATATTTTTTACCTTATTGCTGTAATATTTTATGTGACAAATAGCAGTGATTTGCCCATATATGGGTGTGATATGACGACATCATGGCCATATATGTTATTATGTTTAGGGTCTTGCTAAAGGTATACTGTCTTTGTTTTTTTTGCAAAAGAAATAATAAAGTTTGTATATCTTTTACATTGGAAGGTAATCTAAAGCCTGACGTTCACTAATGCGTTGTATGGCGGTCATACGACAAATCCAATTCCAAGATGACGTGATTATCGGTAGCAGTCTTAACAGATTGTTATTAGGGAGATTTTGATTTGTGCGACAACGCAACGGAATCATTCTTTCCTGACCATCCTACCGGGCATCCCTACGTTCTCTGCATACGTAGATTTTGCCAAATGTGCATCCTAGAATCCATTCGACGAGGAAGAACTGAACGTTCTTGCATGCGCAGATGACTTTTAGTGACGTCATTACGTTCTATTTCCTACCGTCGTCGTGCAATCGACAGCTCCCTGTTAAAAATCTGTTGCACGTATGTTGTGCCATTGAGTTGAGCATGTTGGGTGTTTCAAAATATATAAAAGGCGTTACAAGGAACTTCAAACAATAGGTTTACAAAAATTAACCAAAAAATCTTTTGTGTGGTGATACATTATATAGGTTTTAAAAAGTAATTGAAAATTTAATCAGTTAATAACCAGTGATCAATAATTTTTACAAATTACATATTTTTACCAGTGTTATTATATTTTGAAACATTTTATAATCTTAATCAAGATAGTATTTTTTTTTTCAAATGTTGTGGTTGCTATAAAAATATATTGTATATGTATTTTGATGTTTTTTTTTTTGTTAATTAACATTATTTTCTTTTCAATTATTCAAATGGGTGCTTTATAATGCTAAGAAAAGAAATCATTGGAATATATGCAACAAAAATATATACAATAGATTTAGAAATATGTGTAATTTTGCAATGATGCACTCAAGAAACAATTTATATTATTTCTAATCTGGGGCCTGCCATCCCAAAAACAGCTTACTGTCGCTAAATGTTAAACTGAGTAATTGGCATAAGAATGTGACAGTATTGTATAATTTATTATTATTATTATTATTATTATTATTATTATTATTATTATTATTATTATTATTATTATTATCATCATCATCATTAATATTTTTAGTAGTATTAGTATTATTCTTATTGTTTTTTTATTGTTCAAAGTTATCATTAAAACTACTATTGTTACTTTTTTATTATTATTATTGTTATTATCATCATCATCACCATCGTATAAATAAAGTTGACATGTTACTGTGAAGATAGTATGATCTAGAATTTTACTGATAAATAGACATATGTTGTTAATACATGCAGAAGGCAAATTGAGATGCATCACAAACAGAATTTGACAAATATTTGTTAGACCCACTCTGTCATCTTCTTGATTTGGATAATACAAGCCTAGAGTCGTAGTATTGTATAAATGGTAGTAATATGTACAGATTGAGATTCTTACCAAATAAATATCGGTGTCAAATAGTAGACTTACAATTGTATATTCTTATCGGTTATTTTCAAGCCAAGCCTCAATAATTCAGCAAAACAATGGTAGGCATAAAATCAGTCATTAATATTTAGGAACCCCATGCATTACAATAGTACAGTCACACAAACAACAAAGACAAATAAACAGATTACAACAATAAAAGCACAAAAGGAAAAAGCAGCAAAAAGGCTTAGGCAAACAATTAAGTCTTGAGTGCACGTTTAAAAAGATTAGGATCTGAGATCTCTCTAATGTCAGTAGGATATTATGCTTCTCTTTATTAGGTCATGACAATATCTGATACTTCCAATTTAGGTATTGACGACTTGCATTGACTACCCATCAGGCAATTATTTATATTTTAACATTTAAGCCTTTTTGTTTTTTTAATCTCTGGATATCATATCACATAAAGGTTGTTCTTTGCTATGTCCTCTACCCTGTTGTCATCTACCCTTTGTAAATAGTTCATTGTTCTAAAATTCCAAAGACATAGGCAATGCCAATTTTTCTCTTGAACCGAATTTCAATATTTCAGTACATTATGTTCATTTAAAGGTAATTATTAACTCCGCCACGAGATATGTTTTCAGTCGAGTAAGTTTGTGTGTGTTCAAAATATCTCAAAAAGAGTTGTACAGGTCTAAATGAAATTTACAAGGTTTAGGTATGACCCAAGGATCAGATGATTAAAATCATTGGTGATGATCCATAAACGGGTGTGGATTTGGCTACCATTAAAAGGCCAACCTATTTTCCTATACGGTAGGCAGATACAACAGATGTATGATGGAATATTTAATTGGTGCAATTACAGTAAATGTAAGAGTTTACTGTAATTGCACCAATTTTAATAATTGCCATTGTTTACTTTTTTGGAAACCAATTTTAAATATTTTTGGTGGTGGTGGAAAATTAGGAGCATATTTTGGGAGATTTATTTTATAGAAAGGGATTTGCTGTGGGCAGAGATATGCTTTCTACTGAGTGCTCCTTTTTCTTATAATACAGTAATATTCTACAAATGAGGCCTTATGCAGCATATGATGCAAATCAAGACAGGTAAGGCAATAAATAGGCCTACCTTTTTTTTTTCAAATCATGTATTTGTGATCAGACTTTAACTAGATTTGCTGAAATTATATTCATTGCACTTAATAGAATAAATAAATTAAGATCACTTACAATTTAAAACATTTATTCAACAGCACAAATTAATTCACTAGACAACATAAGTACACGAACAGACAGGGCCCAATGAATGAGTATGCACAAGTTTTGAGCATCTGTATCACTGCCCTGGGCTGAATGGTTGTTTTTACCTAAAAACAATGTCAACAGCTAGTTTACATAGGTAAGTATTTGCAAAATAGACAATGGCTATGTTTTCACACGTCAGCTAACGGTTTGCAGGATCCGGATCCTACTAACCGTTAGCTGCCGTGCATCTATACGAGAAGATCCCGATCCGGATACCAAGAATATGATGATTGAATCACTGGTCAATAAGAAAGTGGAAATTGTAAATGCATACGTGTTGATTGATTGTTGATTGTTGGTTGATGATAGAAACGCGCCCAACTTGCTAACCGAGAGTGCTTGCTAACCGTTAGCGGTATCCGGATACCGCTAACGGTTAGCGCTAACAGATCGGCCGTTCTCACACAGGTGCTAACAGTTAGCGCTAATGGTTAACTCCCGATCCGGATACTAGGTCTCTCGTGAGAACCAGGCTAATGTTGTACAGTGAAGGCTTTGGGTTTTGAATTTAAAGGGGCTGTGAACTTAATCTGACGCCATTATATTGCCCATGTCATTTGGCAAGGCCCTTTATGATCGTGTCTTCACCAATGTTTACTATATGAATGAAATGAAATGCGACACACCCAGTGGCAGACCCAAGGGCATTACTCTTTATATCTTTTCTTCCATTTTTTCCAGACATTCTTTAATAGGGAGTGTCTTCAAATATGGTTACAAAATAATATTATACTATTGTTTTTTATCTACAAAACATGTCAAGAAAAAACTATTTAAAATTCATATAATTTTTAATTGTAGTGTTTCTAGTGTGATAGATTGATCTTCACAATTCAATAATGATGATTATTACTAATAATTCTATCATGAATCGTCACAATATTTTATGTTTTCTTTACTTTAAATAAAAACAAAAATAAATGTATGAAGACATTTTAAAACAGATGTTCCTTAAAAATCAGTCTGTAAGATCTGAAGAATCGTCATTAAGTTAACTGAATAAATACTAATGTAGCTAGGTTCTTTTTCCACTCCTACAAGATTAATGAATGCTAAGCCTCTCTCGTCCAGCACAGCCTGTGACGCAGCACCTCTCGAACCCATCTTCGCAGCATTTTCTTCTGCTTCACCCTTCAGCAGATGGTTCCTCAAAATTAGGCCCAGGAATTGAACCACTGCTTGATGACTCTAAATATTTCTTTTCCTTCTCTAAGGCTTTCTTCAGTACTTGTGTTCTCTTTTTGTCTATAACTTCCATCTCTCGGATTTTCTGGGAAATAAAGGGATTATAAATTAGCAGATGTTTGGTTTACATATAATGATGTACAGAGCAATCAATTAAAAATCAAGTTCTATATTGCCTCAAAAACTAACAGAAAAACTTAGACCTCATGGACCCAAATGGAAATAAGTTTTACTTTCATTTAAAACTTTATTAGGTTATCCAGGTTCAATTAGTTCTTTGTATTTTTAATGCTTACATACTATTATCTTTTGGAACCGAACAAATCAAATCAACCAATGCTATTTTCGATTGAAATAATTGACCATTTTTTGCACTTTAGCAGTAAAGCATAGCTTCACCATCAAACTTTCTTCTCATGAATATTTATAATTATGGAAATAATTGACCATTTAAAGCATACTTTTCAGATTAAACTTTCTTCTCATGAATATTTATAATTATGCAGAAACAAATGTAATATCACTAAATAATTATTTAAATGAGCAAATAGAAAATCACACAGGTACACATATCAATGTAGACTCTGTTTTCATAAGGAGCTACCCCTCTCTGGAGAGGCTAATAATATTCAGAAATAATTCTACCTGTGATATTTCTGTTCCTATGATAGTTCTGTACTGCTTGCCTTTTCCCAAGCCCTCCATCTCTTCCAAAAAGTTTTGTCGTTCTTGTATTTCTTCTTGCACTGTAAAAATCAAGAGATTGTTAAAATACTATGCACAATATAATTATGGTTGGATGGATTTATTCGGTGTAAACACCAAGGATAACCCACGAAAGTCCTTCTGGTGGTGATTGGGCAGTACACCGGGAGACAATCCCCTTCTCTTTTCCGAATGGTGTACTGCATTCTTCAACATGCACACAGGCCATAATGCACATAGGACTAACCAACCAACCAACTGAACCGGGGACCCAAGAGATCTCAACATTTCAGCACGCACATAGTGGTTACCGCCAGTTTAACCGACTGACCTAAGCTGCTCTCTATGAAATGCTTTCCTCTTGCTTTATTTATGGCGATGATGACATTATGACATCATTATGACAATCTCGATGATGAAGATAATCTCGATAAAGGTGGTCATAACATAGATGACAGTGGTGGTGACATCAGTATTAAAAATGATGACGACAATGATAAGGATGATCAAAGATGTAATGATGATGATGTTAATGATGAAGACAATGATGATGATGATAACCACAAATATTGTGATACTGCCAAGCGTACTGCCTTTCAAATATTTTTTGTCAAGTTACTTACATTCATCAAATCTATCTACACTTGGCTTTGGTTCAGGAATTTTTAGAACTTCTTTCTTGCGTTTTTCTGTAATCTTTAAATCTTCTCCATATGCCATGAAGTTTTGCAGTCTTTGTTTTTCTTTATCAAGGTTTCCTTGACATCAGAAATTAAAATGAAAATTATTATCATTATGATCATAATACTTCATCTTTTAAAATCAAAATGTTCGCAGCAACAACAACAGTCACCATATCAACAGCAATATGACAAGAACAGCATAGCTTTGCAAAAATGATGTTATGCCATAAAATTGGATTAATTATTGTGTAATAATGTTGTAACAACATAATATTAGTGTGTATAACTAGTAAGTTGCGCACTTCTACCGTGCAGTAACTATACCCGCCAACTTTGTTGGTGTCTGATGTGAGACAAAAAAAGTATATAGCGCCCTCTATGTAAATATCACAAAATAGAGCGCCCTCTGTTATTTTTTTTATTGTAGTGGTGGAACTGCTACTGATTACAGTTGTCAGTCAGTATAGCTTCGTTAAAAGAAATTTAAATGGCCTGTATTCACATTTTAATGACAAATTCACCGTATTTTTATGAATTTAAGGGTATAATCGGCCTATACATTTTATCGTTTTGAAAATTTTTATGATGCGCGAGATAATACAACGTAGGCGTGAAATGTAAAAAATGGATGCTCATGCGCGAGATTCACACATTATGCGTTAGAGGTGGCAGGTGAACAGTATTATGAATCAACAGACAATATCTATACATACATCTTGAATGTATGAATGAGTTAGTCAGATTTCTAAAGTAAAACGCATTTCTGTAACTATGTCCTCAAATTTCTATAGTACCGGTAAATGACAAATTTCTGTAGTACATTACAATTTGCCTTGAGTGCAAGATACGTGTAGCTCAGAATTGCATATAGAGTATAATAACAGCTGTGGAATTTCAAACAAACTAAACAGGATGCAAATTTATGGGTCACTTTTCAATAATATTTATTAGTAATCTGAAGAGTCTGAGGGGTCTAGGTCCTTAGAGACAATGTAGTCACAGTCCTGATGGAAAAATCATTGTCCTGGATGTTGGACAATGTATAGACCCCATTTGTGGGGTCTAGACTAATGATAAATTTCCGTAATTGTCTTTGTCTTTTTCCGTTCAGTATCAACTATGGAAGTTCCGTAGAACATATACAAACCAATGTTAAGGCAGGAAATGTTTACTGGGCTCAAAAAGTAAATTATGTATGTCACACGAGAACAGCCGTCATCCACAAAATGAACAACATGAACAAGACAAACATATCTTACTGCTTGGGCCTGGCAAATATTTGGGTCTTTCGTAAGCCCCTGAATCTTCAATTTCATCTCTGGTTCGAATGCCCCCCTGGTATCCACTGATGTCCACCTTTACACTAGCTGGTACCGATTTCGTCACAGGCTGCCTCGGCTTGGCACTACTTGTTGGGTGGCATTTCAACGGAAGTTTGCTTCCATCTACAATACACAGGAAAATGATTTTTTTTAAGATATATATTCTTTGAGATCCTGTTGAAAATTTTCATTAATTAAAGACAAATGTTTTATTGCATGAATGAACTTACACAAAATAAACAGTACAGATTAATGGCTCACTTCAATAATCAATAAACCAGTCAGTGTATTTATGAAATGAAACAAAGTTAGAACATTTCCTTTTTTTTCAATTTTGTCTATTAGTTAATTGTAATTATTAGGTAACCAAGAAAGAATGCTGTTAGTTACTTACTTTTCAAAGTATTCTGAAGTTGGCGTTGTTGAAAAGAAGTTAATTTTGACTCTTGCATCATAACTGGGAATATGAAGAAATATATACATATGGCATCATTCCTTCCAATCTAATCAAATGTCCTAACTACCTAGTCCTTCCCACATTGACTGCAGTGCTAGGTCTCTTCTAGAAGGCCCTAGAGCCTAGCTAGGCCAGTCTACTGTCTGTAGTGTACGACAGGACTACTACCAGTACCAATAAAATAAAAAAGGTTATTTTATACGAACTACCTACGGCAGGCCCTAGGCCTAAGCCCGTAAGTAGGGCCTGCCTAGGTCCTAGCCTAGAGAGTCCCCGTGTCCTCCTCACTCGGCTCCTCCTCGACTATCCTTATCCTAGGCCTAGGCCCTAGCCTAGGCCTCTTAGTTTAGCCCTGTGGTGGTGGGTGAAGTGGTGGTAGGTAGCCTGAATGTAGCCTAGGCCTAGGTAGCTAGAAAAAAGAGGAGCCTAGCTAGACCAAGCTTGGTATTAATATGCAGAACCTAGCCTAGCAACTAATTTGTACGTTAAAATATACCCTTTAATAAGTCCTGCGTCTCTTTGGAGTAGGCAGGCGTACGGGAATCCCAAATTCCCCCTTCTTTTGAGACCGACCCCTTCTGACGAGACGCCATCTTGTATTATTGTTTATACCAACCGCCTCTTTATGGAATGGGTTGTATTACAATACATTTTATATCATAAATTAAATATTTTAACAATAATTTGGGTTTTAAAAATATTTAAATACAATATTGTAAATAAGATGTTTGGATTAATATTATTTTATTTATCTTATGTGTATTAATTTGTGTTGCTATAAAGTAAATAAATGAATGTCGTCGTCTGCTTCATCTTCTCCTTAGCAACGCGTTCTGGTTGGTGGATATTAATCATGTGAGTCGCGAGCGTAACCTGTATGGCGACACATTAACGTGTTCGGCCATGCGTGACTTTCACGGAGTAAATACGTACGGTACGACAACCTGTTTGCTGTTGGAAGGGTTTTTTATTGTTTTATTAGTAACTTTCGTAGGTTACCTTGAATTTTCAATTATTTGTGAACCTTAGTACCGTACAACATGTCTTACAGCGGTAATCAACCAGCTTACAACCCGAACCAAGTAAGTAGGATTGTATCGAGCTTACCGCCCCCTGGCCCAGTCCAGGCCTAGAAGTTGTAGGCCTAGGCTTAGGGCCTAAATCTTATTGGCCTAGCCTAGGTAGGCGTGGCCCTTCCTTAATTATGTAGGCCTAGGGCCATGCCCCTGTCTAGTTTGGTAGGGATAGGGGTCTAGGCTGAGGCCCTGTAGCTAAGGTAGGCTTCAACTAAGGTAGGCTTCAACTAGTTATTGCCCTTTTGACCTGTTTGTTACCAGATAGGCACAAAAAAAGGCAAAAAGGAGTAGGCCTATGTGTCGGAGCAGGGAGATGTAAAAAATAATATTTTCATCTCTGACGCCTATTGTCCAACATACCCATTTTGCATACTGCACGCTTGGCGCTCCATACAAATTACTGCGTATCAACTCGTGGCCACTTCAACCCTAATCCTGCAGAAGTGAAGTCGGGTATTTACTGTAGACCTCCTAGGCCTATATATAGCCTAGTAGGGCTAGACTGTAATAAGACTAGCCTAGTAAAGTCGTAGGCCTATTACTACTAGTACTAGAGCCGAATCACCACCTAGCCAGGCCTGTAAAATATGAATTCTAACAATGAACAACAATCCAAAAGACATGCTTCCTCATCTCATCAAGCTTGGCCTAGGCTTGGGCCCTTTTTGAATTTTCCTGAACAGCCCTTCGTTGTTACAGGTAGGTGTGCCCTTCTGTAACCATCACCCCCTCCTCGCTAAACTTTAACCCCCTCCCCACATACTAAATCACTACTGTATCACCTTGAAGGATAGAAATGCGACACATTAAACCCGAATAAGTCATTCAATAAATCATGTCCATCATTTTATACATGCAAGGGATGGTAGAGATCAAAAGAACCACCCACCTGATTCTTTTGTCAACAACAATTAAAAAACTCCTAAAAATGAAAATATAGCTTTGGAAAAGTTACTTAACATAACCACATTGTTATCAAATTTTCAGTATGTTACAGTTAAATTTGAATCAATGATTTGCTGACATTTTACTACAGAAATGTATGGGCTATGCGAAGAATTAGACACATTTAATAGACGAATATAAAAAATGTTTTGGTTGCAGAATGGTGTTGACATAATTAAACATTTTATATTATTTTTTTCTTGCAAGAGTTACAGAGCTCCCCCACCACAACAGGGCTACGGTGCTCCGCCACCCTACCAGACTCACGGTGCGCCCCCACCTCAACAAGGCTACGGTGCCCCACCACCTCAGCATGGTTACGGTGCACCGCCACAACATCAAGGCTATGGAGCACCTCCACCCTACCAGACTCATAATGTCCCTCCACATCAGCAAGGCTATGGTGGTGGAGTAGCTGGTAGACCAGGGGACCCTGGCTTGCCGCCCCCAGGGGCAAATGAAACTTTATGGTACTGGTTCAAGGTAAGATTTGATAAATTAAAGTTTTTGTATTCTGAAGTCAGGCACTCATTGCATCGACGGTCGATCGTTTTAAGGTTCTGACTGCCACCTACATTCAGTAGACATCGTCGCGTCGTCGTTGTCTATTGCTCATAGGGAGTGGAGCTGGAGTCCTCGTACAACGCAGCGAATACCCAGCTTAGTTAATGACCGGCTCTGGCAAAGCCAGCCGTTTGTAGCAAAAATTCAGAATTTAGTTTTTGGTGTAGGAAAAATTCAAAATTTAGTTTTTGGTGTTTCTCGATTCTGAATTCTTCTTAAAAACCGTGTTTAGTTGATAACAAAGTTAAGAACTTTTAATTCATTGGATAACAGCCATGTACAGTCAATTTTGAGAAAACAGTTTCCAAAGACTCAAAAACTAATAAGTTATTATTAAGATTTGTATTTTTAAAATAATTTTAATTTCAATATATATTTCAGTTATATTTCAAGAAAATGTTAAGAATTTTGTTTTAGGTGCATGTGGGAAATTAGAAGTTGCAACAAATGGTGGGTTTTGCCAGAACTGGTCAGAAATGATTCCGAAATTATCTGCGATAAAATTTGAAAAATTAAATTTAATATTTGTATTGCTTACAATTGTATTTACAATTGTATTTAAATATTTCAATCAAAATGATAAATTAATGGACATATAAGTAATACTGACCTGTGTTCTTTTACATACTGTAGACCCTTTATTAATGGGCTAAATTTCCAGTTAAATTTCTCTAAATCTTTTTTTTTCATATTTTAATACAGAGGATACATTTTTAACCATGGAGCCAGAATATCAAATTTTAATTGACAAAAATCATGTTACATGCCTAAATATGGTCATGATGACATCACATCATGACCATATATAGGCACATTTTGACTATATATGGGCATACAACAGTTTTTTGTTCAAGAAAATTTGCTCCACTTCTACCCTTGTACTCTATCTTTTCCGCAAGTTGGTTCTCTTTAAGTATGGCTTCATGAAATACAATTTTTTATGCATTTCACTTCACAAGGCTGTAGATAAAGACGGTAGCCATCAAATTACAGCCACTGAGCTGCAGAATGCCTTGATTAACGGCAACTGGTCAAGATTTAACTCGGAAACATGTCGTCTTATGATCGGCATGTTTGATAGAGATAAGTACGTAGAAAAATAGACTGCAGCCTGGCAATGTATTGTTATGCATGTAAAAAAAATCCTTCGCAAATATCCTGTGAATTTCCATTTTTTATCAATATTTATCAAACTGAAGGAGTGAATTTCTAACTGTCAGGTTATGTTCATACATGGCAGCTAACGGTTAGCAGGATACAGATTACAAATATACGCCCTTACCCGGGCGTTTTATACAAGAAATCCCCGATCCAGATTTTAAGAGAGATGACAGTGGGATCACTGGCCAACAAGAAACTGGAAATTGGAAATGCGTATATGTGATTGGCTAATGATAGAAGCCCAAGTTGCTAACCGTTAGCATATCCGGATCGGGAGCTAACCGTTAGCGCTAACCGATCGGCCGTCCTCACACAGGTGCTAACGATTACCTCCCGATCCGGACTCTAGTGTGAACCAACCTTAATAGAAATTGATTATCATCATTGTTTTTTTTTTATAATAAAAGTAAAGTTGTACTAAAAAAATATATCAATCAATTATCATCATGTTTTGAAAATGTTTAATATTTAATTGGCAACCATAATACATGGTGATTTATTACATAGTGCTGAGGTTTTCATCATATTTATGTATGATCGATATTGGCACTTTTTGCAAATTTCTGTCCACTTAGAAAAACATGCCTTAGATAGTTGATAGAAATGGAATTTCACTGCGCATTTACTAATTAAAGATAATTTGTAGTTTGTGATTGAGCTAAGGCAATTACTAATATGGCATGCATTAAGAATTTAGCATTTTAAAGAAATATGGAGAAAAATATGCTGAAGATCAATCTTTATTTAACGGAATTCATAGTTATTTACAGAGGCCTTCAAAGGTTGTGTCTTGAGACGAGGACAGCTCTTCGTAGGCCTGCTGCAAATCTGCAGTTGGCAACTGATGAGGTGTTCATATTCTAAGACTTGCTTTAAATTAATTTGCTTTAGATTTTCAATTTTGTAATCCTCCTTAATTAGGCTTTGCTTTTTATTTTATAATAGAGCTGTGCTAAAGGCTTGCCTACTACAGTACCTAAACTATAATTTTGTTTATACATTAAAGCAATCATATCAAAATAGAAACATGAAAACAGTGGGGATCAGTTTCGGTTTGAGGGTTGGTGAATCTGCCAACTGCAAAGTTATTACAGTACCATAGCCATGGAGGTGGTTTGACGCAGTGAAAATGGTTTGGTTTCCCATCCTCGAGGGGAGGAGATGGTTTCAATCATTTGCAAGTGTTCTTGAGCAAGGGACTTTGTCTAAATTGCTTCATTCTACCCAGGTGTATTAATTGCTGGGAGTACTGTAACCTGTGGTGGACCAGTGTCCCACCCACGGGGAGCATCACGCTCTCATCTGCTTCATACTGCTTGATAATAGGGTTAAGTTCCCGCCCATAATTTACCGTATCTAATAATTTACTCAGATTATTTAAATCATATAATAATGATTGATAATCATCATGTTTTGTGATTCATGTAACATACATCCAAAAATATATAGCACATTTATAATCGGAAGAAATTATCTGTTAGTGCTACAATGTTATTATCCTCGTCATTTGATCCATATTGGCTCTGTTTCCTGTGAGTGAAATCTTTATGTGTTGAAGTCTTGTAGCTTATAGAAAATAGTCTTGTTCTCTAAGCCTTTATTCACACTACAAATGTTTATGGCAACAATTAAAAATATTTGTTGCTATGAAATATACTATAATGTGGACAGAGATTTAGATAAAAAAAATGTTTGCATGCACCAGTTAATATTTGTCTTGGCTCTCATAAACTAACTACTGCTGCTAATGCTTTTTTAAGCTGCTTGCTTAACCATGTAGTGATTGCTGTTATTAAAGGCTGTGGATGTTGATAATAGTGGGACAATAACCATCAACGAACTCAAGCAGGCACTCATCAACGGGAATTGGTCCCACTTCAATGACGAGACGTGTCGCCTTATGATTGGCATGTTCGATGTGGATAAGTAAGACGATGAGTTTAATTGCTTTGGGGAACTAAGCTGGGGGTGTGCATTTTTGAGACTGTCGTACACTGATGTGTGGAATCGTTTCCATAGTGATCAAGACAATGAGTAACATTAATACACTGCTGTGTGGCATCGTTTTGCAATCTGCCCAAACTGCCACCGACAATGAGGTCAGCCGACTTGTGTTGCGTCTGACACAGAGAGCAAATAAATTCATCGGCCTCGTCCGACACTGACTGCCACCCAACAGCTTTCTGATATTTATTGTCAGCTAACACAGTGTGTGACAGGCTATTGATGACCCCTAGTTTTGACACTTGTACAGATTTAACGTAGGCCTACAGCAGAAAAAAAAAGTTGCTCACTAATCAGGCCTTTTAAGTGAGCTTGTGTCTGTAGCCTCCACAGCCTTCGATAACAGTCTGTTTATCTATTCAGTAATATTGCTGTACTGTTACTTAGGGGTCAGCAAATATTATGTGTTACTTTTAGCTACCCTGCCTAGCTGATATTAATTAAATTCTATATTTGTTATATTGATCATTTTTATCAACAGACACTAGGCATGTACTAAATTTACTTTTTAATATTAGTAATATTTTTTTATGATACAAAATCATATTACTTGTCCGACATAAAACAGAAAATTTACTTACATCTAATATGAACTTACATCTAAAATGATTTACAGCTTAAAGTACACTATATTGTAACCTTTAAAAAAAAATCCAATAAGATATATACAAACCTGGACAAAATTAAAGTTTCAAATATCTCGCCAAATATCATACAGTATCACTTAGTAGGTGTTTTGGTGGATATTAACATGAAAATTCAATTACTTTTTTATCAGAAATGGAACAATTGACTTTAATGAGTTCTCCGCTCTGTGGAAGTATATTCAAGAATGGAAACAGTGCTTTGATAGGTAAGCCGTGTGTTATTGTATGCTGGTCTCCCTTCTTTAGGCCCCTAAATAGGGGGTTTCTGTATTTTGGCCGAACCCCATTTTCAAACAAGTCACTGTACGTAGGCCTGGAAGAAAAATGTTTGTGCCTCCAACCATGAAAATTTTCTCAATAAAATTCCTCCAGCATCAAATGTTATCTGTACGCTAGCCCGACAGTTTATTTTTTAGAAATTTTTCCCCAAAAAAATGCCTTCAGGACATTCATAATGCCTCCCACCGCTGATCGCACGGTCACACACTTTTTCCAGTCCTGACTGTACGATACACCAAACCACCCCTATCCCCTTGTGTCATAACCAACAAATTATAAAAGTTGTCATTAAAGTGGTAGAATGCTTGCTACGTCCCAAGATGGGGGCTTTACCACCCGACCTCCACAAGAGCCCTCCCTTTGACCACTGGGTTCTTCCATTGACTGTGCCCAGGACCTCTGTCTGTCAAAGGAAATCCCTTCAAGGAATCCTGCTTTACAGGCCTGTTCACTTTCATTCCCCATTGCCACCTAATTCTACTCATCTCCATTCCCAGCACATCTTTATCTCCTCTCATCACTGTTTGCTATCTTTTTTCTAATTTTGTTTTTGTTTAATCATAGATTTGATAAGGACCGGTCTGGCAATATAGATGCTCAGGAACTTCATGATGCATTTGTTACATTTGGTTACAATTTGTAAGTATCTCAAAATCAACTTGATCTGAAAAAGCATTACTCTTTATCAATCAACTTTTCTTGGAAACAGTTCCATATATAATAATAAAACAAAACTATAAAGTCCAATCAACAAAAAACAAATTATAACAAAAAAGAAAAACAATTTATTTTATTAACTAAACAAAAATATGATTTTTTTTTTCATTATTATTATTGTTTTCAATGTTATTTTCATTATAATAATTACAGGTTTCCCTCCAATTATGGGACCGTGGTTTTCATGGTCTTTAGCAGCTTTGGTCTCTAATTACAATAATAAGGATAAAAGAAAGTGGTCTTTAATTGGAGGGGTCTTTACTTATAGGGAGACCTGTATTATTTCTTTATCTTATTGTTTCTATTATATTCATTATAATTGTTATTGACCAAAGATGTTGTAACTTTATTTAGGTCAATGAACTTTTGTCACCTGATCATGAGGAAGTTTGACCGAACCGAGGTGAACTCGATCAAATTTGATGACTTTATCCAGTGCTGCGTTATGTTGCATTCACTCACAGAATCATTCAAGCGGAAAGATGCAAATAGATCCGGCAATATTCGAATTCACTATGAAGAGGTATATACTATGGTTTCCACATTTAAGGCCAGATCAGACAGCACTGTGCAATGCAGGCCAACATGATTTGTTGTGGGGTCTGTGTGAGAGACGCAGACACGGTCTGCATCGGTCTACGTCGGAGTCAGTCGCGTCATAGAATGTTTATTATTCTCACAATGACCTAAAATCAGTCCCCAATGATAAATCACATTGGGCTGCGTCGTACAACCCTGTTTCAGTTGGCTTTAACAATAAACTAGGAAGTTATATTAATTTATTGTTTGAAGGTTTGCATGGCGAAGTAATAATATATATTAATGCTTGCGGTACACCACGTAGATAGTTCTGAAAAAAACTGTTATTGTTGGTTGAGAATATCTCGACGTTTCGATTGAGTTGCTTCAATCGTCTTCAGGATATTCTCCTGAAGACGATGGAAGAAACTCAATCAAAATCGTTGAGATATTCTCAACCAACAACAACAGTTCTTTTCAGAACTGTCTACGTGGTGTGCCACAAGCAATAATATATATTATATTAATTTAGTTATTCATTTTTAATTTCAAAAACATGTATCAATGTTTTAGCAATCTATAAAGTATATTTTAATAATACATATACCAGATTTTAACATACATACTCACCGTGAGTGATTTTAATTGCTTATAAAACTTGATCTGTCTTCTCTATTAACTTTTGAGTATATGCTACATCCATAATTGTTTTTTTTTTTCTGAACTATTTATGAAGGTTAGATAACAATACAGTATTTTTGTTCATTATACTTTGAGGTAGCTGCAATTTTGCTAACAAAATTTTTTTTCTGAACGATTTATGAAGGTTAGATAACAACACAGTATTTTTGTTCATTATACTTTGAGGTAGCTGCAATTTTGCTAACAAAAATTTGAAATATTATAGCAAAGTGGGCTGAAGTGGAGAGAGGCCATGTTCCCTAAATTGACATGTCGACAATTACACGAAGCCCCGCCCACAAAGTCACGAAAACCTTAGACAATGGTGGCTAGTCTTACTGAGTTGGCGAAGACTTTCTTTGCTTTCAACCTTCTTTAAGAAAGAGAATTCAGGGTAGGCGGTATGCAAATGAATCATATATTCAAAGTGTTAATCTATTTCACGGAAGATGGCAGGGAAATTGTTGTAAAAGCCTCTGGATTTCACTCCCAAAGGAAGAGGGAAAAGCCGCATTCAGTCAACCTTGTTGTCGGCAAGGGTCAAGTCACTAATGCGCACTGCTCGTGTAAATCTGGATATCTATAACAAGGCATAGACATCTAGGCCTAGGTTCATGTATGTTTCGCATTTAAACCAGCTGTCTAAGGAAATTAAAATTTCCAAGAAAAGTTTTTGATCACGTGACTAAATGACGCTCGCTGATTAGTCGGTTTATCTGTCAATCAAATCTCGTCGAGATGTTAATTGATGTAACATAATTGTCACCAGACACAAGAAACTTAAAGAATTAAATTAATTATGTATAATACAAAATGTCTGAATTATATATTATTGTTATTATCATTACTGATATATATAACATCTGTTTTCTCATAATTTATTTAACACAGCCATTAACGTTATTCCCTTTTCATTTCTATTGTTTTAGTTTTTAGAAATGGTCCTTGACACATCAGTAGTGTGAAGATTATGTGTTTTTTAATCGTCCGACAGATGGTTTGTAAATCTGTTTAACATGGGCGTGGCCTCAAGTGTCATTCAACTCTTTACTAAGCACCGACATGTTAAATACAGTGCACACTCCAAATCAAGACCCCTCTAATTCCAAGACACCTTCAAATTTGCATTGTTGACATTTACATTGTTGATAAGCGACAGAGAGTGGGTGTACAACTGCCATTCAGCTTGTTGCTAAAGCATTAAGGACATTTCCAGAGTTTTAATCAATCCAAAGTGTTTGATCAATTAAAACAGTGGCAGAAATAGGCACGTGTCCAACAAGCCTGCGTTTTGTCCCACAATCACGCATGCTCACGTATGCTTTCACACTGTCGTCTTGTGGGACCTTAGCGACAGTATCCAAGGGGCGGAGCTTAGCAAAACTTGTCAATTGGGTGGGTCACAACTGTCATTCACATTGTTGCTAAGCAACAAAAATGGCCATAAACAAAGTAACCAGAAAATTACTTCCATTACTGTTTTTGGATTGGAGCTGTGGCTTGGTGGTTAAGGTGCTTGTCTTCTTATATCAGGGTCTTGGGTTCAAATCCTGTTACACCAGGATTTTTCTTGAAATTTAAAAATACCTCAACTAAGCAAGTAAAATATTAGTTATAGTAGTAAATTAATAACTGAGTGAACATTGAGTAATTGTATTTGTCTTTATTCCAGTCTCCACCATTTTATTTGTCTGTATTCCAGTCCTTACCTTTCTACCGTGAATTTCAAAATGTGGTTTGACAGCATTTACACTGAAATTGCCTTATAAACTTTTTCTCTTACAAAACAGTTGATTTTAATATTTTAATGTGTATGTATATATTAAGTTTTTTTTTAAATCAAACACTATTATTGCAGTTTAGTAAGGTATGTAGGCCTGTAGGCTTATAGAAATAGTAATGATAATCATAATATACAGTATGTATGTAATTTAAAAGCAAATATTTTGATACAAGAAACAAGGGTATAATATATAATCATGAAACTATGCTATTTCATATGGTTTTTATTTATATAAATTGGTATGTATTCTGAAATTAGTACACATTTTTGCCCATGTGGTAGGTCTATAGAACATAACTAATATGAAACATACTTTAGAGTGGAGCTTGGAAACAAAATACATGATTGGTGCATTGTTCATTCAAGAAACACACTTTTTCTATCATTTAACAGTAATTGTAAATTATAGAATTGTTTTATATGTAGATTATGGATAAACATATTAATTATATATCAAGGGGTTTTATATTAGAAATTATGTTTACATCATTAATATGTAGAAAAATAGCACATTATTATACAGCATAATTGTATTGTAGGTGCACTATGGGCAACTTTGTAAAATCATGGAGATTAAATACAACTTTTTTTCTAGTATATGATGTATCTTATTTATATTATTATAGTTACAAAATTTACAACTACTGTATGGATTATTGGCCCGATTATTGGTCAGGGTGGTATCAATGGTGATAATGATACTAATTAATAATGTTGATGATAATGTCAACATATAAGCGTTGCCTGCAAAACACTGCTTCGTCATACCTCCAGGACTTAATTCCGCTTAGCATCAACTCGGTCCAATATTTTACCATGCCTAAAAATCCAGCCTATCAAATTTCTTGAGCCACTGCTTAGGAATAGACTTCATCGTGAAGTTTTGGGAGCCACTATTTTAATTTTGCATATTTCAATAATCCAATTTACATGTAGTGTTTGAGCTGTGGAGTATCTAGGGAGTGCGCGGGGGGTGTACATCCCAAAAAATTACTCACGCCTCTCCCCCAGTCCCCCTCCCCAGAAATCACGGTCAAGTAGTTAAAAATCACCTTATTTTGCAAATTAGCGCCCCTCAACTGATCATCGAGCTCCCCTACTTCACCTTCGCGCCCCCCCCCCAATCAGCCCCCATGCACCCCCTAAATACGCCACTGTATGAGGCCTTACGAATTAATTTCCTTGTACAGTACATACCTTGCCATATGTCAGTTATTGGCTTTGATAAGAATTAAGAATGATGGTTACACTATGTCAGTGATAAAGATCGATAAGAATGATGATGATGACAATGTTACTATTGATTATAATGATAATGATGATGTAAATGATGATATATATATATTTATATATATATATATATATATATATCGTAAAGCCTCGAATAGAAGACCAATGTGCTTATTCTCGAGCAGAAGCCCATCTCGAATTAAAAAGGCCCCACTTGAGTTTGCAAATGTAGCCCCGAAAAGAAGCCTAGGGCTTCTATTCAAGATAGCATTGACTCGAAGTAGTGCAGTACATACACTGTACATGAATTTCAAGGAAACAAAAAAAAATTTAAAATGTGCTTCGTTTAAACAGCAGTTTAGGTGATTTAATGTCGGCGAATGCACTACATGATACAGATTGATGTTACAGTGGCCTTTATCGTTTTATAGTAGTAATTACAAAAATTTACAGCATTCGTTTAAAAAAAATCCCCCTTTTGCAAAAAAAAAAAAAAAAGCCCATCCGAAGTTCAAAAATTTTTATACAGACGACTGAGCTTTGGGGCTTTTTTCATGCATTAAATGGAGAAGATTTCGTTATAATCGGTGGCGATGACGATGTTGAAGTCACCGTCTGCGGCGACGGACATGACGATAATGATAATATTATAGTTGTTTTTATGTAGTTCAAACATGAGACGATCGCTAGTGTTGTCACAATGATGGTGAACCCGGAACCGTGACGAATTGTGTTCGCAATATTTACCGATATCAAATGTCAGAAGTTTAGGCTAAATTAAAGCAATTATTTTTACGATCCGTTGGTACACAATTTATAATTAAAGATTAAAATTTGCGAAGAACAGCTGACGTCGTAGTTGCGTGCATTTGATTATAATATATGAGTTAAATATACAGTAGTTGTGTCAGTATTTAGAAGCCCAAAACTTTAATTTGGTTCCATTTAGGCCTAATCAAAAGTGTCCAATACAATTACAGGTACCAGTCAGACAATCATCAAACCTATTACACCGCCCTCTAAAATTATCCTTAAATCATTGTAATTTATTTATTTTTATATAACGTGTGATCGAAACAATGTAATATTAAATAAAACTAACGTGCGTTTACGGTATTACCAAACTATCGTACATGTACACATCCAATGACCAGGGTATGTTTTTTTAAGCGCATCAACAGAGGCGTTCATATTTTGCGGTAAATTGATAGGAAAGGCCATAATTAGGTTGTCATGATCAGTACATTAATTCTTTAATTGCAACAGATGTACTGTAATGCTTACTGTAATATGATTTTATTTTCCTTATATATTCGAATTCTCTGTAAATTCTAATATAGCCCTTTACTTAATTATTTAAGTTTGTAGTGGAGAAATACAGTATTTTATTTTGTAGTTTAGGGTGTCTTCTAACTATGGAAGTAATGTCACTGCTTTGTTATTGTATGAGTAGGGGTGGGACTGGGGCCCAGGGACTCGCCCCTTTAGAGCATCATCGTTACCGTACGCCACACGGTCCGGCGCACCAATAGTATCGTGGTCGCATCGCGGATGAGATCGCGTTGGCTTTTGACTCAGACGTACTACCGGCTTTTTGATATAATTATATGCCATCTTCTTCCAAATTCCTCAAAACATCGAGTAAAACGAATTGCTCATGTTGAGAATCACACATATTATTAATCAAAATTCCAAGTGGCAAATATTTCATAGGAGAAAAAACATGCAGATTGATCACAAACGAACAGAATGTTGTTTACTGTAGTTTTTTGTAATGTCTTCTATAAAATATGAAAAACACCCTATAGTAAACGAATAGAATATTTACTGCAGTTTTTTTGGGTTTTTTTTAGTATCTATCTATAAAATATGAAGAAAAAAATTATACCGGTATGTCGCCTAATTATTTATAGAGAAGATGACGGTTGCAGACGGCGTGGTTGATCAAATGTCTAAGTTAAATTCCCAATACAGTAGTTATGTCTTTCTACATCGCCTACTACGAACTTCTGTTTCAATTACTTCACATACATTGGTCATCAATGCTGCTAGCTCTCGTTTACACATTATTTTAGAGCAATGCAACATTGTGTCGGCAAAGTATATTGTTATATGATTTCCGGTTTCTTTGATGTCGCGTACAATTTCTATGTTTTTATGCATCTTCATGTCTTTTTACAATTTCCGTTCTTTGAAGTTTTTTCCCCGTTTTAGATATTTCCATTAATATCTATATACAGGCCTATAGACAATTTTATTTTTTTAACGCTAATAATACTAGATAACATTTTCCTTGGTAATAAGTGGAGTTTGTAAGGAGATGTGTGTATCTGAATTCCGTAATAATCACAAACGCAAATTAGCCTTGTGTTTGCCTCTTTTTTTTTTGATGTAATACCATTTCACTCAATAAAAAAATGTTTCTTTTTAACTCACGATGCAATGCATGGTTTCCATTACACGCCACCTATGCTCACAGTTACTATAGCGAATTAAAGACTTAACTCAGCTCTGTGCGGTTATAAAGTCCAACGCGCTATTCAAGCTCAGAGATTGTCGCTACATCGTGCTGGTAAGAAGTTCGTCATTCTGTTGAACTGGTGCGCGTTTTGCTCACGGCGTACAGCACTGCAAATGAATCTAAAAAAGAAGGTTTCATAAACAATCATGCATTGATCAACACTCCTTCACTGGATGTTTGTGCGACACATGTTGTTTTCTATAACTCAAGGTGTACGGATTTACACATGATTTTGATGTTTTAGTTGAATTACGTAGTTATTATTCGGCATTCGCATCATTTCAGTGCAGCTCTACTCTGGAATTAAAGAAAGCCGGTAATTCGGTGGTAAGTCTGGATAAACGATTTAGAAAAGTTAATCATTACTGTGTTTAGCGGATTGTGCAGAGATCAATCGCTATAGACGAAATTTGTTATAGATTGTGTAGTTTTGTAGATACAGCTGGTATCAAAGAATTATCAATGGAGTTCTGTTAAATTTAACGCAGCAATATTGAACTAGCTTTTTTCCATGCTATTCATTATTGCATTGCACTGTGCGGGCATTAGGCCTATCACCCGAGGCTTGCAATGCAATGCAATCCGAAACTGCGATCCCTCTGCGCCCCCTTTTTGAAAACAAATGTCATATATTGATCTGCCCGATGGGTAGTGATTAAAAAAATACATTGTGTTTTAGCCAACCTGATAAAATTCGAAAACGTTATGAATGTTTTGGTTAGGTTGACGTCAGAAAATAACGGAAACGACGTTGCAGCGAAGTTACCACTATTTAGCAGAAATTACCTTGGGTCTGCGTTGTATGTGGTTCCACAAAAATCGATTTTACTAGCAAACTCTAACATCATTAGAACGTTATTTTAACTTGAAATTGTTAGCTGAGGAAAACGTTGATAGGCCTACACCTGAACTAAAAAAAAAAACACGTGTTGAAATTAAGATGTAACTTGTCCAACACCTGTTTCTTAATGAACGGTTAGTTTTTCATTTGTTAATTATACTTACCTAGCCTTATCTAAATTAACCTGTGGCTGGGTAAACCATGCGCAATTTCATTCCGATTTTTGAATGAAAAATACAGGCCTACATAGTGAGCTAAACGGCCCATGATAAAACAAAATATAAAACCGGTATATGTTGAGATGTTTTAATAATATATCGCGTATACCTGTGTTTCATGAAAATAATAGAAAGTTATTTTTGAACGATTTCTTCTAAAGTAAAACAAGTAGGCCATATATATGCTTTTTTTTTTTTTTTTTTTTTTTTTTGGTGTAAACAGTTTCGCAAACTACCAGTTAGCATCGTCAGTTCGATTGTGGCAAAAAAAAGTAAGCATACTGCGGGTTATACTTAAACGAAAATTCAAAATTAACTTAAAACCGATTAAATGTTATTAACATCGAGATGTATAGTGTGAGGGGGCGTATCATCGTATCGAATGATTGAAAAACAAACGTATGATAAACACTATCAAATTAAAACGGTTTGATTTTGATCATTAATTATGTATGAAAATGATAATAGAGAATATACTCGTTTTGAATTTTAAAATATACTTACGCAATTTGGAAACGATCCCTGCGGGAAGAAACGATGCTGGGCACAACTAGATCAACACATCGTTGAAAACAATCCGCAAACGTATCCGTTCCCTAGGGGTATCTTCTATTTGTCTCGTGTTACATAATATCAATATGTCGTTGATTACACCAGGTACCGTACTGTGAAATAGCCAATTCGTAATAATCGGTCTTGGACACGTGACTATCTTGTTTTGTTTTTTTGGGTTTTTTTCTTCTTCTTTTAGCCTGCCACTTCCAGGTCGCTAACAGTTATCTCTAAATGTCGTTTTATACTATATATCCTTTTCATCCAACTGTGATTAACTCGTAAATTACAACAACCTGAATAAATCGAGTGCTACTATATAAAAGCCTAGCGCACGCTGCATGCAAGCCGACGAATTCGTTCGCGCTTTCCGAGCGTTTATCAGGCGGCACAGCGCTAGTCCTTAGTCCGATTGCCGCCATATAGCGGATTGTGGTTGAAAACGTTGCGTCGTGGATATTGAATTCGATATTGCTTTGGTCTGTCGACACCGATACAGTGTACGAATACTTTCCGTCGTCGCGTTTCGTTCTCATTTAATCGGAAATTGCGTTGCGCTATTGACGCCAAAACAGTGTGCGTTAACGTTCCGTCGTGTCGCAGTCTGATTGAGTCCAAAATCACGTTGCGCTATTGGCGCCGACATAGTGCCGACACCCCGTAACTGCAATGAAAACGCTGTAGCAACTAAGTAGCGATTTTATGGAAACCACGCTTTACTACGAAAATCCTTATTCATCACCTGCTGGCAATTTTTTTTTTTTTAGTCTGTGCTTGAATTTGATAAATTATTTGATTTTTTTTTTTTATTTAGCAATTCTCGATTTCACAACGGCGTGTTTTATAAAGTAGGCCTATTTTGTAATTTATTATCGATATGCTTAGCTAGCTTTTTGTTGGAGTATTTGTGCATAAATAATTCTCTTCTTTGGAAGCTTAATGTGACCGTCCGGGTTTCCAAAATAATAATCTTGTCGTCTTTCAGCGATAAACTTGGAATTCCGTCTTTTTAAGATACCGTACACTATTTCGGAAATCCATCTTTCCGAGATAATTATCTTGGAAATCACTTCCGTACTCTTCAATTCAAGGTAATTTTCAGAATTTCCGATGAAAATGTCATTTAAAAGTACTATTAGCAAGTATTAACTTAGTGATAAAGACTATTATACGTTTATTTTAACAGTTTTCAATTAGAAAACGAAGAGATTAATTTTATTGTAAAATTTGCAACGGAAAGGGAGGGGCCGGGCATATGAACAAGGCCTATATCTGCGCAGCAATTTCAAAACTGCGCGCAAATCCAAACAAATTGTGCAAAATTAGTGTATATATATCATAATTATATTTATGTAACATAATTGTGACAAGTGCCATGTAGATGATTTGTGGGATGCATGAACTTTAAAAAAAGAACTCGGATATTACGATTTAATTTTCATAATTTCTTCCTATCCTATGTTCCTTTCTGAGCACTGTTATTATTTATCTGTTTGTAGGCCTATATATAATATTAGGATATATGCTATATATGCATCAGTTTGTAGAGTTAGGCCTCTCAACTTCAGTTTGATTCTAACCTATATTTCTACGAAAAAGATAAATGTTCCCGTATTCATGTATGCACATCCAGGCCTGAAGATAACGGACCCCGTGAGGCAACTAACCACAGAAGTCCCTTCCTAATTTCACGCCACGGTTATTCTGATATTAATCAAGAAAAACTATTAACGTCCGCTCCTGTATTATATATACAAGGCCTCGCGAATATTTATGTAACATAATTGTGACACGTGCCAAGTAGATGATTTGTGAGATGCATTAAAAGAGGACTTTAAAAAAAAAGAACTCGGAATAATTACGATCGAATTCTATCGCAATTTTCATTTTTTTTTTATCGGTGAACGTGTTAGGTTTACCACTTTACATAGTCATTGAGTCTCTGTACACAGAAGGAACTTTTCGTTGAAGGGCTATGCTTGTTACAATTGTAACTTCATATGTTCCTATTTGAGCACTGCTATCATTTATCTATTTGTTTACGGGGCTGCGCTGCAAGCCTATTCAATATCAATTATTATTTATATTATGAAATAATATTTTATAAAATTATTAACATTAACATTAAATATTATTATTGTTATATAAATGTATTAATGATTAAAAGAAGATTCTTTAGAGGTTTTGAATTCCTTCTTGACAATTTAAAAATATCTAAAATCATTATTATAACGAAACTATTGGAAAAATATGTTATGCTATTCAACAACCAGCCGTAAGCCATTGCTTGAATGGAACCCTACGTTGTAGTCTCTAGGATGATTTGGACATTTACGTTCAATGCTGTTTTGTCATGTTGTAATTTATACATATATGTATAAAAAACTTTCCCAAAACAGTACCGTATCAGGCGTGACGAACCGGCGCCATAATGATGCCTGCCGAGTCCCTAACGAACTTGGGTGCTCTTCTCCACAATGTCACGGATTTTAGACACTACTTCTAGTGGTAAATTCACAGCTTATACATATTCATGACAAGCTTATAAATATTTCATGTTCGACATTGCTTTATCCTGATTAACTTTGTCGGTGGCTGCCCAGGCTTCGAATATTAATAAAACATCGTTTAAGTGATTGCTATCGTATTTAAATTTAGCAGACGAATTAGTTAACGCGTGAACGTAATTTACTTATTATGGTGACACGGTTAAAGTAGCCGTCACGTCCTATTCGTTTGATAGGTGCCCGTATACCTGATCTACAACTAGGTTCACCACGTACGGTACTAGAGACGTTCTCTTTTTATCTTGTGAAAAGTTGAGCTGCGTTTGGTCAAGATCCAATGCGCATGCTTGGTCTCTGTCTCACATTATGATTGTGGTGATTGGTTGTAGTAAGCGCTGTTGCTTAATAGTAACGCGTCCTGAATTACTAGTGCAACAAGCTTAACGCTATGCAAACGGACGAAAGCTACGTTTACACCAATCTCGGACTCTGGGCCGGAATCTTGGCTTGTGTTAAAGTACATACGTGCGTGATCAATGATTATGGATACGTTATACTTTCACCTGTTTTATAATTCTCTGGTGAAATTGTTTATAATATTTTACTATAGCGTTGGCGATGTTGGATTTGAATTTCCGCCTATCTTTAAACCCTGCACATACGATTCCATGGAACTGAACGTGGCGAGGCGCGACTCACTCAGATTAGTTGTCCCCAGCAATCAGACGGCGTCGTCAAGGGGTCACAGAGTGCAGAGATGGATTCATCGGCCGATGATCTTACGACCGTTGGCCGACACAAAGAGAGCTCCGTCTGGGGCCCACACTTTGTCGGTTGACGAATTCGTCTGCGCTCTGTGTGAGCACTTCCCCGTTTAATGACAAATACGATACCCGTCGCGGGCTGTCTGGGCAGAATATCGTCACGTCGCGATCTCATATAGAATTGCGTCTGCTGCTTGAGCAGTGATACATTGCGTAAGCCGACGAATTCGGCCACGATTTTGTTCCGCTTGATTGCTCGACTCGCTCTATTACTATTTTGTGTTATTTTGAAAACGATCTATCGCGTGCGCTTTGTAGCGTTGCAGAATAATGGTCGGCCGAAGCAGTGTGCATTTCAATATCTTGTGATGAAGCGAAGAAGGAGCGGTTTATTATGTTAATTTTTTTTAGATGTAGGGATATATAGTAGGCTATAAATGCTCAA